GATCATCTGGAAAAACATCTTCATACTCCATAAAAATGTCGTTCAAGGACTCCGGGATGTAAGGTTTGTCCGTGGACCCAATATCTCTTATAAGTCCAAGGAAACATACATCATCTCTAGAAATGGATGCTGTACCCATCACAAAGAGGGGTAAATTCCTATTCTGAGATCTAATTCTATCTCCATAGATCTTCCATCCACTACTTGTAATCACTTTTCTTCTCCAATCTACCTTCGGATTATATTGTTCCATCCATGGCATTCCAAGGATGACATCATATCGAGCTAAACGAATTACTCTCCATTCAATGCTCTCCTTGTATCTACCTATGGATAATTCTACACTCCGTGGAAGTGTTTCTATCACTTCAGTTTGCCCGTTTGGCAATTCAACTTCTTCACTCACGTCCTTCATCAACATCAAACCTAACTTCATAGCAACACTCCTTGATAGAAAATTCTCAGTTGCTCCAGGATCAATTAAAACTCTCACCTTGTGTCCTTCCATGAAACCATCAGTGACAATGAGTTGAGCTTGCTTCTTAGTCCTTCCATGAGCTCCCAACCATTGCCTTCTTCCAACCTCGCCTTTTCTTCGCTTTGTAGAACCAGTAAGGCCGCGAGGCAAGATTACTAGTGATCTTCGTTTCCCGAAACTGCTTCCTCCACCTCTTCATACTCTATCCCCTCCATATTGTTGAACGGTCGTCGCTGCATGGGCCGTCCTCCTTGTTGTGTCGGCCGAACTCGACAAAACTTGGCTATGTGACCCATTCGTCCACATGCATAGCATTGGCGATTGTCACGAACTCCAGCTCCTCCTCGAACCATTCCATTATTTGCATAACCTTCTTGCAAATTTGGAACTCCTGGTCGCCTAATCTCACCTCCAAATCTTGGTGGTGGTCCTCTTGTTGGTGCAAAACCTTCTCTACGTCGAAGGTTTCCCAACTCCATCGGTGTTGGACTAGATGGATCTCTAAAATTGCTCACTGGTTCACCGTGTGTGACACCAAAAGCACCTGAAATTCGTTGAGCAATTGCGATTGCTTCATTCACAGTAGATGGATTGCTTACCATCACCTCCTTTCGAATTCGATCTTTCAAGCCTCGTTTGAACACGTCCAAGGCTTCAGCTCCACTCATATCCATGATAGATACTTGAAGATCACGAAATTCTTCAATGTATTCATGAATACCTCCTTTCTGCTTCAGATCCCACAACTTCATTCTTGCAGTTTGAAGAGAATCCACCGCTTGAAAATTTTGCAGAAGTCCTTCTTGCATTCCACTCCACGAAATGGTAGCACCTCGTTCTGAAAGCATTCTCTCCCATGTTGTGTACCATGTGAGAGCCTTATCCGTAAGATAAGATCTCACGAACATTCCTGCAATATAATCAGAAACATGAAAATGGGATAAATGAATATTCATCCTCATAATCCATCCCTCTAACACTCCCATTGCTCTACTCCCTTTGTAAGCTTCCACCTTACAGGATTTTCCCATTCGAAGCAAAAGATTTGCTTGATTTTCAATCTCTTGAAGACGTCTCCTATTTGCCTCTGCTGCATCAATAGGAGTTGGTTCTGGCTGAACTTGGGAAGCATGAACTTGAGGTTCAACTTCCATCTCTCCAACTCTCTCTCTCTACTTTCTCACTCTCTAATGCGAAGATTTTATCTTCCATGGCTTGCTGCTTGGTATGCCCATCTACTATTGCTTTTCTCAACTCCTTCATCTCCGCCATGATTGCATTGAGAACCTCACCCATATCAATTGATGTTCCCATGCTTTCTCACAATCCCTCTAATACAAAGTGAGTATAATCACTATGTGACCTCTCAACAAAGGAGTCACAAAAGGTGCAGGTGACTATATCACAGCTCTATAGTACTCCTCTCCATAATTCCTCACAAGAAAATCTCTCCATATCCTCTTCTGTCTATATACTGTTCTAATCTCTACATAAGTGCTGAATCGAACCGGGACAGGTGGTTCGCGATTCAAATCCATGAAACAATCAGTATAGAATGTATATAGTACAATCCCAAGTCTCTCCATAAGTAACTATTGGAAGAATTAGTGGCACTCTTGACTCCATCACTCTAGTCATAAAATCTGCACCCCAACAAGCCACAAGGTACATCCGAAAATGATGTTTCTCCATGCAACGAAGGTGAATATCGAATAGGTTAGGAATTGGCCAGTGCGGTACTGGATTCCTGTCAATCCCGTCCATATCTGCAAAAACACAATTTCCCTCTTCCACCTCTCTCTACGTGCAGATGAATGACCTCTGCCAGCCTCTATACACTTTCAAGACTACACTCCATCATCACTCACTTGCTATTCCATGAGGGGTAATCCACACTCAAGGAAAGAGCAAGGTCGCTCTGATACCATTGTAACACTAGGGTTTAGAGAGAAGTTCACTCGAAGATAGAAACGTAAACTCTGAAGATGAGAGATACCAACAATGGTTCTCCTCTCCCTTATATACCTCTCACCAACAAGTACAAGGTGATAAGATCTAATCCCCACCACCCATCCCACTCCTAGTGGATGGATGACGTGGCGGATAACCCTAACAAGCACACGGATTGCTGACGTGGCGCACCCAACTAACACACTAACTAACACACTCAATCCTTACCTACAAGCACACGGATTGCTGACGTGGCACTGTCAACTAACACATCCACTCTGTACCTACCAAGTGCGCGGATCGCTGATGTGGCAGCTATGACTAGTGCACACTAAAGTATCTACAACCATATTCAGAGTAACCTCTACTTTAGTTCTAACTAACTAAAGATGGTTACACTTGGTCCTCAAAGCAGTAACCTACCGTCTCAGACAATACAACAAAAGCTGAGTACAAGGCTTTGTCCGAGGCAGCTAAGGAGGACGTTTACATGCGACGATTGATGGCACAACTCCAAGTCAATCCTCTAGCTTCAATTTCCATTGTATGTCAAGAATCTGAAATACAAGCTAACCTGAAGCACGCCAACACTCCAACCTCAACTGATTTACAATCAAGGTGAAATAAAACTCGCTCAAAACCCTATCTTTCACGCAAAGACAAAGCATATTGAGGCCAAGCATCACTTTGTGAGAGAAAGAGTTTTAGAAGGAGAAATTTGACTTGATTACATACAATAAGAAGACAATCCATCGGACCTTCTCACAAAACCTCCATCGCGCCATAAGTTTGAAAAGCATAGAGATTCTATTGGGTTAAGTTCATTAGTTGAAGCACAAGCAAGTGCTACAACCTAATATCTATTGTAACCAGCTTTATTTCTAGATATGTACTGAAGAACTGCATACATATCGTAATGCTAATGTTACCCTCGAGAGGAGATGTTGTAAGATGCGGATAGTATCTCAGCGAGACTAACTTTAGTATTAGGATACTCTCCTTATCCTCTTATCTTTTTGATTAGTTCCTGTTGTTACATTTTAGGTTTGAGTGCATAATTGCACTCAGCATGTGTCAGTGAGCAGCTATTTAAATGTTGCCTTTCTTAAATATAAATATATATATAATGTCTCACAACACCGAGTCCACCATTTTGACCTTCCCAACTCTCATGTGGCTGAAGGAATGGATCAGGTGAACCATATGTGATAATGGTCATGTGGAATTCAGATTTTCAAACATGTATCTCACATGCAATAAACGATTACAGATTAAAATTTGGCACATTCAATATATCTACATCAAGGATGAGATACAATCTCACTAACCAGCCGAGCTGGATAAACACTCAACACGTATAAGCTAGTATTTGCTTGAACCATGAGATTCCACATGCTGAAAATGTATTTCCTCTGTACTTCATCTGAAGTATGAAAATGGCAGCTTTAATGTAGGTTGCTTCTTTGATGCCTGATTAACAGTTGCATTTCAATGTTGAAGACTTAACCTAATCTAGACCACACGACTTGTGCATTATCTCGCCACTTGAAATTTGGGCAACCTTACATTTATGAATATGCAAGCAATGTGAATTGATGTACTTCTAAAAAATCCACACCAATAAACTAAAAAGATATCATGAAGGTGTAATTTCCTTGGAATCTGCGTAAATCAACTGACAATATATACATATATTTATATTTATTTATTTATTTATTTATATATTTATATTTATATCAATCAGATCCAATCTACTCAACTAAATATTTCAGTTGATTTATGCAGATTCCAAGGAAGTTTCACCTTCGTAGTAAGTGATTTTTTTGGGTATATATGTTTATAAATAAATTATGCATCTTTGTATAAATGACGTGTACTCCACATACATCTACATTAGTTTCTAATAGATTTCTCTCAAAATGATAACATTTTGTAACAGGAATATAATGCTATTGTGGATAAAAAAACAAACAAAAAAATTTGTGTGTCAGCTTTTTTTAGTGGGGTGTTTTTTCTTCCAAATGTGCAAGGCGGATGTACCGTGGTCATGTGACATCCTCTCGCCTGCCACTAGAAGTTGTCACATTTCACGAAGAATCCATGCGAATGAGAGAAATCAAAGTACACTCTCTCCGCCTTCTATTTTGGGAAGGAAGGGCTTGTGGCCTGAGAGGGAGAACGACTGGAAAAGGGAAGAGAAGAGAAGAGGAGGGTGACACAGTTGGCCAGATCTGGGCCGTCCGTGGGATCCATGCTGACGTGTGAAACAAAGTCCGGTTGTGGGGCGAACAAGATTCAGCAGAATCTTTGTCCCGTAAGCCCTGTGGAGCTTGGGACTCGTGTGAGGGGCAGAGGCAGGGGCACAGGGCAGGGGGCAGGGGCAGGGGCAGGGCGGGGAGCAAGGGCAGTATGATGCGGAGAATCCTTAGGCCCTCGGGGCAGGGGCTGGGGCAGGGGGCAAGGGCAATATGATGGGGACAATCCTTAGGCCCTCGGGGGCAGGGGCTGGGGCAGGGGGCAAGGGCAATATGATGGGGACAATCCTTAGGCCCTCGGGGGCAGGGGCTGGGGCAGGGGGCAAGGGCAGTATGAAGGGGAGAATCCTCAGGGCCCTCGGTGCTACGGAATCTAAGATGACGACGACGACGATGAATGGGGGCGGAACGCAAGGAAGGAAAGGGTTCGGATGCTGCAAACGCGTGCGAGGAAATCGTTTTAGTCTCCAATCTGGGACCAGAGGAAATCGCGTTCAGTGTTGGACATATTTTGTACGTCAGCATGAGGAGGGTTTTTCTGCGAACAGAATTTCTGCCTATACGTGGAGCGTTGAGTTGAATTGAATTGGATCGGCTTGGATTGGATTGGATTGGGGTGGAAGTCGAAGCTTCGAAATGCTTTGAGCGAGAAAATTCGAAAGCAAGCGGGAACATCGATCGGAATTTTGATTGACCGATCATCTCCCGAGAAGTTTCGTCGAAGGGCAAATTGTGGCGGGACGTGGTTGGCTGTCGGAGAAAAGCATGAGGAGAAGCAACGTCGTGTACAAAGCTCTTCGATCCGCCGCTTCGAGGCAATCCACATCCCTTCCGCCGTCGTGCTGCGGCTGCACCACGACCAGGCGAGGAGTTTTCGAAGAATCCGTCGGCTCGCAGGAAGCGTTGTCGGCCTTTCGCCAGAGCTGTAAGAATCCAATCTTGCTACTCCGAATACTGGATCCAACAGCCCTCTCGCCCCCGTGGTGTACGCAGGTTTCTGATTTCTGAGTTCTCTCAGAATCGGCGTCGCCATTTCGTAACAGTGGATCTGCCATTCGGGACTATTTTTAATTTTTGTACACCACCCAGTTTCAAATGCGTCTGCCTTCTTTTGCTCGCGGTATTTTTGGAGAAGCTCCATTACCTCGAGCCTCATTTTAATAATCATCACAATGCCCCTACGTATCTCTTCTTCGTCCAGCAGAGCTCAGCTGATCGAATCTTCTGAAAGTCATACAGTTCTGTATCCACATAACAAGCTCTCCTGAACCAGATGCTTCTCTCACCTGGTCAGAGGATTCTGTGATTTTTCAACACTCTCCTGCAATTTTGCAAGTTTTGGTCACCACGTTAACAATCTACAAAAGAACGAAGAACACCATTCGAGGACACGTCGATTTGTTATGAATGAAGAAGTTTCTTCTTGGGTCAAATAATCACAATCTTTGTTTGTCGAAGCTACATTACTCAAATGGACATTTGAGAGTTATACCGGAAGCTGCCGAGGTTTGTGAAGACAATAATTTATTTTGCCTTCCTCACAACTGGTCTACACCTCACAAGTTTAACTGGAAAGTGTAGGTTCACTGAACTAGAATTAAGCCATAGATACGTATACACTGATTTTAAAACAAATGTCTCCTTCAATGATAGAGCTGATGCTGGGTCAAGTATCTCGATGAAATCAATCCAGCCCTCATTGGCCTCTGTAGGTTTTACAGATGTACGCACACTTGGCTAAAAGCCGATCATAAGGTGGTTGTGTCCCATCAATGGGCATCAAACAAGACCAGTCTTGTTAGTCTTGATTGATACTGCTGAATAAGTGAGGGTTTTGCCGTCATTGGAGTGAGATCATGTCTGGGATGAGTGTGTTTGTTTGTTGAGATCATCAAATGCTTACTTCATTACACACCTTAACTAACCGACAACGACTTCCACTTTTTGTAGGTTTAGGAACACTTGGCGAAGTACCGCAGGGTAGACATTTTGGTGCAGAAGAAGTTCGAAGGTGGAATCCCTGGCCACTCTCAGCAGGTGCAGGACTGTTCCTGGGAGCAGCCACATTCCCATTGCTGGCTTTCAATGAACAGGAATCAGTAAGGATTTGACATCGCACCTTGCTCCTCAACTTTTGTGTGGTGGTCCTCTTTCAGGCGTGTATCAAGGACAGTAAAAAAAACCTGCAAGGTTGCACCGTCAGTCGTTGATACAAGTCATCGTTGTTATGTTTGTACGCACAGAGTGACATCGATGGACAGGATAAAGTGGATATGGAGAAGGTTCTTCTGCAAGTTCAGATGGGAGTCGATGAGAGGCTAGAAGCCTTGAAGCTGCGATCTTCTGGCCTTCCAGCTTACAACATATCCGCCAAAGGTCAACAGGTAACTGGTGAATACAAAAGTGCCTACCTTAAATTTAAAATCTCGGTATGTGTACGCCATTCAGTAGTTGCGATATACCAATTGTAGGTTCTTCAGAACAATGTACAAACAGGTCTCTTTCGTAGTCGAGTCATCATTAAAGTCCTTTTGCTCAGCACTCACCCCTGCACTTTTCGAGCAGGTGTCCATTCGATTTTCTGTATCACCATCATGCGACATATCCCACCTCATTGTGGACATGGTCAACCGCCTTGGAGTAAAAGCAGCCGGGCGAGGGGGTGCCAGCGAGATGATCGTTCAAGCTTCTGATAGGTGAGTGATGGCGGTCGATGGCGGGTTCGTTAGACTTGGGGGTCACATCTTTTAGTTTAAACAGGGCTGATCATGTTGATTCAGGACAAGCCCTGATTGTTGTTATTATTCCTGTTGCTCAGCTGATTCTTTTCCAGTACCAGCGTCTTGTGATATTCGTTGGGGGTTTTCTTTGGAGGTGATAGCCATTAAAATTAAAATTATGTCTGTAGTGGACGACTGGAGTTTGATACAGAGTGAAAGGGCAGGAAGCTGATCGCAGTTGTTGATATTCTGTTAACAGTACTGTGGCGAGGCAGCTGTTCATCACGGCATCCGAACATTCAACCGAAACCCAGAGCGTGCCATTGGATGAATTGTCTGATGACAAGGGTTTTCATTCAAACAAACTATGCATCTTGGTGTTTGAACCTCTGATCGGTGATTACAAGTCCGTTGTGAGTACTTTACGGTTTACGACATAGTTCCACCGGAGATTGTGGATTGGAAACATTTAACTTGATATCAAACTTACATAGCCTTGCAACTCTTGTATTGTTACGTACCCCTGTTTTCCATTTACGTTTGGTGATGGGTGTGTTCGGTGTGTTCATAGTGAGTGGAACAGTGACTTCTTTCGCTAAGCGTCCGTAGTATTGTCACTCTATCCGAACCAGGAATTGGAGTTTTTAAAGAAAGGCTTTCTCACAGCCTCGGAGCTCGACGCGGTTATAAGCTCATTGCGTATTGCCGGTGGAGTAGATCAAGAGCTTGGCACGGAGAAAAGGAAGCCCAGAAGACGGGCAAATGGGACAGAAGCGTCTAGTGAGTCATCGGGAGAACTTGATCGACAGTCAGATCCACTTGATGGATGGCCTCAAAGCAGCCGATGGAGGTATCGAAGTGGACTTGGAGAAGCTCCGAAAGAGCGCTCAACCTCTGGACCAAATCGACATACTGCGAAAGGGAAGACGAAAGTGTTGGAGTCCTTGGAATCTATGGGTGTCAAAGTCTACGGAGTCAGCACGAATGGTGATAGTGCTGATTTAGAGAGAGCTACTTGGGACAGCCTTGCGGGATATCATGAACAAAAACGGTTGGTACCGTATTGCATGTTGAGACTTTCACCGCCTTTGTTGTTACAACCGTCCTTGTGACCTAGCAATGAAGAGGTACTGGGTTGAAATTCCTGCAAAAGCAACAATATTTAGTCTTGACCGTATTTTCACCTTACAAGTATGCGTGATGTGTCTGGTTGTATTGTGGTTGTTGTTAGGGAGATTGAGGACACTGTGTTGCTGGCCTTGAAGCGACCTGACGTTTATGACACCATAGCTCGTGGAACACGGCGCAAGTATGAGTCAAATCGTCCACGGGCCGTTCTTTTTGAAGGACCTCCTGGTAAGTCTCCACTCTTTCTGCACTGACAGTAAGTGAACAGTCACTGTAGATTTTTTTCCACAAGCATGTCGCATGTTAATCGTCATATGGAGTTGTTATAAATATTAACATGCGAAGCATTTCGGCGCAGGAACGGGCAAAACTTCATGCGCAAGAGTTATAGCGAACCAAGCGGTAATCATTTATACTTGGGTCCAGAATGTTTTAATCGTAGCGAAGGGGGACTGAAATTGTAAATTTAGGTGCTGTCTTCTTTTAACACGAGGATTAACAATTTTCCATTTTGGCTAGTTTGGATCCGAAGTACTGTACGTAAATGTGCCGGAATGAGCAGAGAGGAAATCTCAGTGTGAAAGTTGGACTGAGGAGGATCAGTTCTTTGGGAAAATTTGAACAATGATAAAATATTGGGCATACAGCACGGAGTAATGGAGTTCCTTTTTAGAACAGAAAATTGATCCTTGAGTTTTTACAGGGTGTACCCTTGCTATACGTGCCTCTTGAAGTGGTCATGTCGAAGTACTTCGGCGAAAGTGAACGACTGTTGGCATCCATCTTTCATGCTGGGAATGAACTCCCAAATGGTGCGATTCTGTTTTTAGATGAGGTTTGTTCTGAATTTATCCTAATGTTAGCTCGTTTTGTCGGTTAGTCTTTCGTGTCTGTTATTTCTGGTCGAAAGAAAGTGTTGAAACCAATTTAGATTGACTTGAAAAAACAATGTTAATACTGGTTCCGTAGCCCTGTGGATCTACGCGAACTTTGAGTCTATCTTCCATTGTTGAAATTTTTCTATGTCCGCAATTCCTCGTTGTGTATATTTGCTGCTGTGTCTGCGATGCAGTACGTCTTTAGAGGAATTTTGAATACATTTTTTCGTCGAATTTGTCGTTGCGACCATTTTGAGTGCAATAATTTTCACGAAACCCTGGTCATGAAGCATTTAGTCCATTCGTCTTACTAATATATCTGGTCTTGAAGTCTCACATGTTTTGGAATTATCGTGACTCGTTCCCTTGCAGATAGATTCGTTGGCAACTGTGCGGGATTCCGAAATGCATGAAGCCACGAGAAGAATGCTCAGTGTTCTTTTAAGACAGGTACCTTGAACTCACCTTAGAAAAGAATGTCTGCCATGAGCTCATGGAAAGTGAGGGGGAAAAAGACCAGGCCTATTATGCTGCTCTCCGTTTCTGCATTATATTCTCACACAAACTGGCTCACTTTCGTACTGACTGTCACTTTACTCATCGGAACTATATGGAGGACACCTTAGCCGTCTTACTCGTACAGCATTCGTGAAGTAAGGTTCTGGATTCCTAGGTGACTCATGATGACCAATCTTATTGTCTGCCTATGTCTATGCTGAGACGAGGATGGGTGTCGTGCAGTATTTATGACTTGCAAGTATGGTTTGTGTTCAGATGGACGGATTTGAGCAGGACAGTAAGATTGTGGTAATCGCTGCGACCAATCGGAAACAAGATCTTGATCCCGCTCTTCTCAGGTAACTATGGGGATAAATGAATGTTGTGGAAATCTGTTCATTACTTTTGTCCACGCAGCTATTGGAACAAGGTTTTCTCGTTTGGACAATGTTGAATCTGCTAATTATTGTCCTCATTTGCAGCCGGTTTGACTCTTCAATCCTCTTCAGCCTCCCTGATCTGGTGACCCGTCAAGACATTGCAGCGCAGTATGCTCAGCATTTGAATGCTACAGAATTGGCTTCGCTAGCAGCTGTTAGTGACGGGTGAGTTATGCTAAACCTGGAACTTCTTATAGACGTCGGCAAAACTGGAGCATGTGCAGGGACCAAGCCAAATTATGTCTTATGTCGAATGCCAAAAGTCTGTTCTAGTTCTGCGTTAAGGCAATTACAGGTTGGCATATTGCATCACGTCTCGAACCTCGTCAGGATATCTCATTCAAGAGATCTGCATGCGCAAGAAGTGTTTCGATAATGTCCATCCTTACATCTCTATGAAACTTGAATTCTAATTAAGCAGTCCAGTAATATATGATGTATGACAGTCGATTTTTTGTGTTGTACAGAATGTCTGGACGCGATCTTCACGATATATGTCAACAGGCTGAAAGGAAATGGGCTTCAAAGGTAGTCACCCCACTTATGTGATGGGGTCCTCAACCCTTCCCTCAGTGTGGAGTTCAATTCTATTCAGCAGCAAAGATTTCCGACGTCCGTATTATTTGTGTGTGATATTTTCCCGAAGCACGAGACTTTTGACTAGTTCTTACTTGGAAGAATTCTCCTGGCGTCATCTTTTTTGCTTGGAACATAAACCTGCTATCAAGTCATCGAGGGCTAATTCCGAAATTTGGCATGTACAGCTCATTCGAGGTACAGCGGGAAGTCCCCCTTCACAAGCTCTCCCGCCCATTCAAGAGTACATTGAGTGCGCCGAGAAGCGTAGGCAAACGATCTTGTTTAGGTTTCAGGATCAATATTATTTAGGCAATTCATTAAAACAAAATCAAGACAAAGCCTGGTGATTTGATTCCGAACAGGTTTTGCAGCCCTCATCGAGGGGATGGACAAGGGGACAGAACGCAGAAGATGTTCACCGACTGCTGTCGTTTGGAACGCCCCGTCCCGGGTGCCATACTTTCATGGAGTTTCTCATTCAAAATATAATGGCAACACTGTCTGCTCACAGAAGCCGTCTGTCTTTCGGTTGACCTTCGACATGTCCCATGGTTCTGACATGAAATACATTCTTTTTGCAAGTCCGCACTGAATGGGACCGAGTTTCTTCGTACCGAGGGGGTTAATCTTATTCCCATGTGAGCTGGCGACGAATATAGCTCGAGCAACAGCTGGTTCGCAGTCGTAGGCCTTCCTGCCTAGTCTTGTCTGTCGTTCTCAATCAGCGAAGCAAATCATTGTCACGCTCCTCTCACCCTTTCTATCCTCGGAGCTAATTTCATTTTTCGATCCGACCAGGCAACTTCTCAGGACTACGAGTCCCGGTGGTGTCAAATTGGCAAAGGATTGCCAATGGAACCCCATCCGGTGAGGCCACCATTCTCCACGCCACATGGTTCATACCTTTGCCCCACAGTGCTCAACTCTTTCCGCCCGCCCCCTGTTCTGCTGAGGCCATGCTTTTGCTGTCATCCTTCTGTCTCCCAGTACTCAATTTCATCGAGGACGGGAAAAGCATGGCCGAGTAATCCCCCAGTAACCGAGCACGCAACTCTTTGTCTCCTAGCACTTTATATCTGGAGCAATTCCTCATAATGAAGACGAGTAGAATTGAGGATTTGACAGTGAGCTTTGCTCAGGCAGCCTACGAGCATAGTGCCTGGTGTAAGTTTCCCCAGCTTGCGGGTGATCCCACAAGTCGATCATGCTCAGCGAGCTCCTTGTGCACGAGAGGGAAGGGGTGAGACTCTACGCAACTCGGGACCACAGAGTGTCAGCCGGCCTCGCTCTGGCACTTGCACTTGCACCTGCACTTGCACTTGCACTTGCAGAGGCAGTGACAGCATCCACTTTGTGCATCCACGAACTGCCGTCAGTCAGACCTTTAGAGCGAGAATTCCCTCGGCCGAAGCTCGCGGGTCGGTCAAGGGAAACAGTCGATACGGATCTGTCACGCACTCTCGGCCATCCTCTGCAAATTACTCTCAGAAGCCTCCCCGTATCTACGCCATTCCACGAGGAGTAAATACTTTCTACCGGACCTCGGCTCAACGTGGATGGACGAAGCCTCTCTCTCTCTCTCATGAAGCATTGCTGCTAAATCAGAAAGCACCCCACCCTGGCCATGCAACCGTGCGACCGAGTGCTCGCGGCCTCACATCTCACGACTCTAATTTGCAACGCGGAGTTTGCAATCAATCGACGTCAGTCGTGAGTGAGTGAGGGAGGGAGCGAGTGAGAGTGTGTGTGTGTGTGTGTTGGGAGGGGTTGGATTGGTTTCACGATGGCCAGAAAAAAACAGAGTCGGAGGATATTGAGCGTATCAGGATCTGAAGGACGCGGTTCACGATGGCATATCAGATCTAGGAGAGCTTCTGTCGCCCATGATCCACGCAGCGAGAAAAGTATCCTCCCCGGTGATCGTCCGTCTCTCCGTCTGTCTGTATGGATGGACCCCTTCCCGCCCGATCGATCGATCGAGACAGGACCATCCACATGAAAAGCATTCGTTCGTACAAGCCTGCCCGTGTAGCTCCTACGCTCTCTCTAGCCTCAGTGCCTCCTCCTCCTCCTCCTCACCTCTAACATTTGTTCTCCCTCTGATCTGATCTGAGCGCGAGCTTACTTTAGGCTTCAAATGGCCCTCGGACCCCACGCTTCATGCTCAGGCTCTACGAATCCGAGTCACCTCCCTCTCTCTCTGTCTCTTTGTCTGCGTCTCTATCTCTAGCTGGAAGAAAGTCGGGGCTAACTCTCGATTCGCATAATACAATTCGGCCTGATACGAAACGAAGCCGTAGGATGTCATGCCAGAGGAGGGAATCCATGCACACACTGAGGTAGGGGCCGAGAGTGTGAGATCTTCCGATGTCATGCGACGAGAGGATGTGGACTCGAGGTGAGATACGAGACCTCGATCGAAGGGAGAGGGAGCGAGCGAGTGAGTCCGAGCAGAGGACGTAGTACATGGCGATGGGGAGGGGGAGGGGGAGGGGCCTATGGGCCACGTGAATACCGGTAAAAAAACGGAGTCAACATCGTAGGACTCGTGACATGGAAAATGCAAGCGCCTAGAATCTCGAACCTCGGTCGTGCGCGAGTGAGAGAGTGAGTCCGTGGTGGTAGAATGAGGAAGGAGAAAGGAGGAAGGGCGGGGGGGGGCTACTGAAGAGATCTGCAGTGCAGGCACGATCACTGGTCGCTGCTGTGGGTAGAGTTCTCCATCTCGAACCATGCCGTTCGCGGGACATGATTGCGCATAAAGCGAGTCAAGTACGCCGCACTGCTGCAGCAGCAGCAGCAGGCCACACCCTCCCTGGTCTGTGCCCGTCGGAGGCCATTCATACTCCAGACATATCCTGGCGTGGGATGGATGTGATCGTTTCGAGGGTGCTGCTGCTGCTGGTAGTGGTGGTGGTGGTGCTTCAGGTCGGGCGTTCGTTCTCCGGGACACTTTTCGGAGTCCTGCACCCCAAGCCCCCCCGTTGGTACTCGAGGTCCTCGTTCTCCCACCCCCAGAAGCAAGCCATCCCCCCGTCTGCTCACCCGATCGATCGTCAGCAGCAGCAGCAGCGCCACCCGAGAAATCTCTCTCAGGCCATTCGGAATTTCGCTGAGTCCCGGCGTGAAAGTAAATCCGAGCGAAACCTCGAAGCCTGTGAGTGTGCCCTGAGCTTTCATCGGCCTACGAGGCCCATGAAAGCTGATGAAGGCCCGTGCAGCTCATGAGTAGCAGCAGCAGCAACGCGGACCCGATGTTTACCGTGGTAACATTCCAGTTGCTGAGCTCATCCCCTGCACTATCCCATATGCAACTGTGCAGCAGCAGCAGCAGCCGACTGACAATCCAGTTCGTTGCACAGTGGAATAGGGAGAATTTAGGGGCTGTCTGAGTGAACAGCAGCAGATAAGCGATGAGAGATGATCGACTTCGTCTGATTGATACATCGCCCTGCTGTGTAAGGTGTTGTGTCAGGGTCCGGGTCCGGGTCCGAGCCCCGAGCTCCGAGCGCTCGGGGGAGAGCGAGGATTGGGAATAATGTTGAAAACAATCGGCGGACATGAACTAATGGTCAAACATCCGCGAGCAAAAGTAAGCACAAATAATCGATTCTATATTTTCCTTCTGATTTTCTAGTGCTCACGCTCGTCGTCGGTCGAGGGTTGGTTCCTAACCGGGAACAGACAGACAGACAGACAGTCAGATAGACCGCCAGCCAGCCAGCCAGCTATGCCTACAAAGAGTGGACATCCTTCTCGTCAATCAAATATCCTCATTCTTCCAGGCACTCGATTACCCCCAGACCGACCCAACACAGCTAATGCTACTAACAAACCTCCTCCTCCTCCTCCTCGTCGCCGGTGAAAAGCAAGGCCTGCATGCCCGGCCGATCTCATCTCATCTAATTGCTTCTGTGGGTAGGTTAGTCCGTTTTTCCACCGCTAGCAGCAGCAGCCACGAACGCCTTCCCCCTTCGACTCTTACCGCTGCCCCCTCCATTGATTGCCGGAAAGTGGAGATTTAGCGAAAAGCTACGCAAGCTTTTGTTTACGAACGCAAACGGATTGTCTAGCCCAGAGCCGCACGATCTTCTCGTAGCCACCTTTCCGGCGGGGGGCGTCTATGCCAGAGGGAATGGTGTAAGCGGGCGAGGGGGTCTGAGCGCGCTTACAAAAGCTACAGCTGGCACGAGTGCTGGGCAGGACACGGATGGATGGATAGATGGAAGGATGGACGGGGACGGATGGATGGATGGGTGGAGGCTTTTGAAAGATCTCGGATCTGCTTTCGATCGTCTCCTCATCGCTGGGGAGCCCCTGAACGAACGACGGACTCCATGACGGACGAGTGACTGACTGACCGATTGACGGACTGACAGACTGACAGGCCCCAGAGCGAGGGGCAAACTGCGGGGCTGGCCTGGCGGGGGCTGGGGCTGGGGCTAGCCTGTCCCGCCAGCCCCCGTCTTACCATCTGCAATCTGAACGCCAAAAGACAATCGCTTCGAGAAAGCAGCATCTTTCTCGATTTCGTGGGCCTATGGGAGCTCGGATCGCGATCGCGCACGACAGAGTGGCCTTGTCTCTCACGAAGCCAAATATCGTCCGTCCCGCGCCATTGCCATGTTTACCACGTCGAATGTTTTGTTTAAACCGCATGAATTCGAGCCCGATCAGATGGAGGGAGGGAGCGTTCGTCTTGTCCGGAAGGGGGCAGCGCCATCATGAATCCCATCCCGTCGTCGGAGCCTGCGAGCCAAAAGGGCCAGAGCGCAAAAGTTTGAATGTTGGCCTGCGAGAGGGTACGACAGGAACTTTATTCCCATTTGCAAGCAGCCAGCCGCTGTGAGATGTGCAGAAGCGCGCGATGGGGGCACCTGATCGACTGATTGCTCGCCTGCTGCTGCTTCTGGAGGTTTATCATCCGATCGGATGTGATGTCAGAGCCCGAGCGCCCTTCGAGAACTAGAGACAAAGCATTCTCTGCGCATTTCTAGGCCGCGCTCAGTCGCTCGGTGGCTGCTAGCCAAACGCGCTAATCGGGTGGAAAGAACGACAGCGGAAGCCAAGACGTTTAAGCCACCACCACCCCCGTCGGCTCAATCAGTAGCATAATTGACTCTCTTTCCCTGGCCCGATCTGTCAGATCAGATCAGACACCTCCCGGCTCTGAGGTTTTCACCACGGCAGGACGATTCGCCCGCCAGATGAGGAAGGGCCGGCCTCGCTGACGGAGCTGGCCATTTCATTCCCCTCTGCTGTGCATGGGCCTCTGTCAGACTATGAGTTGTTGTGAGCCGAGACGAGCCGCGAGAAAGTTTGGCCAGCCACCATTCCTCTCCTCTCTCTCCAGGCCATAGGCATGCGCGATCATTGGGTAAAGTGCAATGGCTCATGCTCGAAAGTATTTCCCTCTCCGTTGGGGATGAGTTCCGGTGCCTCCTTCATATTACGCTCGGGGAATTTCCACTGGCCTCAGACGAGAGGACCGTTGGCGAGCATACGAGTTTCTCACGCACCGGCTCACGGTCTCCGGGCCCCGGGACGGGGAGAAGGAGAAGGAGGGGGAGGGGCTTGGCTTCCATGAACGAGCGCGCGGTTGGCACTCTGGGCCAGTAAAAAAGAACCGGCCCCGGGGCCCCTCACGAATTCCTCTTTTGGAGCTTGTGCGGTGCTTGCCAGTTGGACAGCTAATCACGCGAGGCGAGAGGGCGAGCACAACACACAAGCCAGTTTCGCCAAAGCCTGCTCGTCCTGCCCCAGCCCCTGCCCCTTGCCCCTGGCATGCCCTGCCTGCCCCAAAATGACCCCCGTGGGCACGGGGCAGCCCAACTCTGCCTGAGTCAGCCCCGGCGTCATGCACCGGGCTTCCGGAAAGACGAGTCGTAAATGGAGTGCAGGCATCGTGCTCGAGCTCAAAGTGATGGCATTAATGCCCCATGTTGTACTGTCAGAATCTCCAGAGCTGGCAAACGGGAGGCTATGCCCACTGCCCCAGCCACCTCAATCCAGCCCAGCCCCAGCCCCAGCTTAATATCCAGGGCTGGTTGGCCCCGCTCGCTGCCGAGGTCCCTTGGCTGGCCCATGCACCGCGGAAACCATGAGTACGTAAGGACGGGGATGCCAAGTAACAAGCACCTACGTCCTGTCTCTCGCTCCTGTGAAGGCTTCGAGCTGTGGCCTCCCACAGTGAATCGGGGCCGCTGTCATTATGATAATATAGGAGTGAAGCCCCATCGCGTATTTTCAAATCAAGGAGAGGAAGTAGATTAAGGAAGAACAACCTTCTCCATTACCGATTGTCAACGCCAATGTCATGTTCACATTCTTACTACACTAACGATGCCCGCAGTCACTGCCCGCTTCTGAACTGCTTCTTCTCCTGTCTCCAGGAGAGAAGCTGCAGGCAGCTGTACTTGAGGGAGGGAAAAAACCACGATGAGGAAAAAGAGCCAAATTTGAGAATTCAGAGGGCGGGAGTCGTAGCTATAATCAGAGTAGTCTCCTTTATTATGTTGTACAGTCCACATAGGCTTCGTCGAATGACTGGTCAATAAATGATTTAACGACTATTCACAAAAAATAATTGAGGAATGAGACCTTCAGCACTAAACTAAGGGACACAAAACTAGGAGTGGACATAGACCTAGGACCGGGGTGAAGACAGATGCTCTTCTCCACTTATGTGATTTTTATATGCACAGCAAAAGGATCAACCAAGCAATCACGAATCTGAGCACACCCCACGTTCAGTATACACGCATCTCTGTTCCGAGCCCATCCTCTCTGAGCTCGAGAACATCTACCCTCCGGAGGAAATCCTTGCAGCATCTAGCATGGCCAATCTCCGTCCCTCCGAAGAGCAGCAACCTTTAATGAGAGTCTACAACACTCTCGACCAATTTTCAGTTTCATCATCTTCTTCTAAACACAACATTAACACATTACACTATCATGGCGGCGGGTGGTGGTGGTGGAGGTGGTAGTTGGTGGTGGTGATGGTGGTGGTGGCGGTGGTGAGGGGAAAATTCTTCAACTACGATGATGGGGCCTTGGTCTCGGTGGCGGCGGGGGCTGGCGCAGCAGCGGCCGGGGGGGCAGCGGTGGGGGCAGCAGCGGGGGCTGCGACTTCGGCGGCTGGGGTAGCAGCAGGAGCGGCGGGGGTTGGGGCAGCGACGGGCTCGACGGCCGGAGGGGTGGCAGCGGCGGAAGCAGCAGGCTCAGGCGCCGCGACGACAGCTTCGGGCTCGCTCTTCTTCTCTTCCAATGGCGCAGCGGCGGGCGTCGCGGCGGGCACCTCGACCTCCTTGGCGCCGGCCTCGGGCGCAGCCGCGCTGCTGGGCGTCGTGTCGGCGGGCAGCTCGATGTCCTTGCTCGCAACCTCCACCGTCTCCGTGGCCGGGGCGGCCTCGGGCGCCGGTGGCAGCACTGGCGCCGGCTCGTCCACCACGAAGGGCGACACCTTTCCCAGCACGAACAGCACTGGCTCCGGCAGAAAGCCTACCCCGAATTTGGCCGTCGCATCGCTCAGCAGCTGCGCTCCGGGAATACCTGCACAATCCATCAATCACTCCATCAATCAATCAATCACCCGACAACCGCATCGATCAGCACGCCAGCGACTGCAGCAGCAGCCAAATTCAATTCATCACTCTCCCCGCCCGACAGCGGCAAGCATCTCATCTGAGCTAGCGACTCGGGATCCCACTCTTTCACGCAACCCCAGTAGCCCAGTGCCGCCAGTCGCAGCGGCAGCTTCGCTTCCACCAGCTGGTGGCTGCTTCGCTACCTTGGGACTGCTGGGCGGGGGCAACACGTACTCTTGTAGCACTGAGCATCATCATCATCATGAACATCGTCATCATTCCTCGTCTGACAGACGAGTATATATTGCGCACCTCGGGCTGGTATGAAAATTGACAGGAATCAGAATGTCCTGGTTTTGCGTGCATTGCCTTGCCCAGTAAGAGTCGGTTACCTGCTTTGGCGAGCTCCACCAGTAAGGCCTGGACAGCATCGGGCTTCTCCTTGAGACTCTCTTCAGTTGGATTTTTCAACACAGCCTGCGCACATCCATCCATCCAGCCGTCAATCCATCGTCGCCAGGGTCAGACGTGCTAGTTCGAGGCATCTAAACTCGTGGAAAGAAAATTGAACCGCGGTCCGCATCGATAGGAAGAGATTGATTGATACAGATGGTGTTCCTGTGACATCCTCGTGATCGAGGACTGTGCAAGACTAAAGGAGTCACTCAAATCGCAGACGAGAAAATTTCAAGTCGAAATCCTCGAGACAAATCCCAGACACATCGTGCAGCCCAGAGTGGCCGCGTACCTGAGTTTCGGGAGACGAGTTCTTATAGATGTCAACTACTTTCGGTTGGAACTCTTCCTTCTTGTCCTCAATGTCCTTTCCAAAAGCTTCCTGTAAGAACGGAGACAGAATTCCACGTGAACAAATTGCACTTGAGATGATCCTGTATTACACTCGTAACTCGCACACGGAGCTGGAATTTCCAGCTGCTCCCCCTGCAGCACTCCGCCTCTACCTCCCGCCCTCCATGGACTCATCACAGTCACCTCAAACCAGATCAAGCAGTTCCGAGCCTCTAAATCTCAGTCACAGCCATCAGCAAGTGCTAGCACTGTTAAGTTTCAGACAAAGCCTGCATACAGCTACGAGACTAATCGGTGAAAATATTGCAGAGCAACCATCCTTCGGCAGGAAATCCATGGACGAAAAACTCGGGCCGCCTGGGGAGATAAGGCAATCTACTGCACACGGTCAGACAGAAACTATTGGGATTCAGGATTGTGCGCAGCGCCAAATCGGAGCTTCGTGTCACGAGGAGGCAGGTATTTGACGGAAGCAGAGAAGAGGAGGGGCACGTCGCAAGCCTGTTCGCCGAGCACCAGCCACGGACCCGAGAAAATTTGCCCCCTGTTTGAAATTCACTGGAGGCAGACCAGACCCATTGATAACTCGAGCGTATACTACTCGGCACGCACTGACTGGGCGATGGCAGCTGCTGCCCTGCGGACGAACCTGGACCGTGTGGAAATCTGCTCTCGTTGCACAGACGGATCGTACCTTTTGGGTGTCGAACTTCTTGCCGAACACAGAAGCTCCCTTTTTGTTTCCCTTGTCGAGAAACTTTTTGATCTTGGGGAGCACCTTGGTCTTCCAGTAACTCATTGTGAGAGCCTTTTCGTCTGAGAGATACTAACTTCGCTTGCCTGCCCTTCACTCGCTCAACGCCTGCTGCTGCCGAGAGCTTTCGAGAGCTGTCGAGGGCTGCTACTGCTGCTGCCGCGAAATGATATGATGGAGGATGGATGAGCTGTTCGAGAGGGGAGTTCACTTGAATAAGGCTCTCTGATGTCAACCGAGCGGCCAATTCTGCAATCGGAGACTCACGAGAGCAGAAGAACAGACACAGCCACTTCACTTGGACTGACACCAGAGAGAGGAGGTGAGAGAGAGAGAGGAGGTGAGAGAGAGGCAGCAGGAGAGAGGAAAGAGTGTGAGTTACTCTGGAATGCACCGAGTCTAATAGGAAGGTGGCAGCGGCTCTTTGAGACAGACAATTCGAGAAACGTGCCTCAAAGCGCGGATGGGAAAGGTGAGCAGCAGTGGCAAGCGCTTGCGAGATGAAGAGTAGAGGACACACACGACTTTTTGTGGCGGAGATATCGTTAGGAATGTTGGCGAAAGTTAAAAACCAGCGCGCTACTCTGCGTAGTCCAGCAAGGGAGGACGAACTGCTCGCTGCACCTGCTGCTGTTCCTACTAGTGTGTGCAGAAATGAGGCGGCCGCGGGCGGGGGGGAGGCCACTGGGGCGCAAGCGGCCACAAGCCTTGTGTGGGGCCGGCCCCCTCCCTCCCCTGCCTGCAGTTGCGTGCTCCCCTCCCGCTCTCCCCGTCTTGCCTTGATGCCCCTCCCTTCCCCCTTCCCCCTTCCCCCTCCCCTCAACCCCAACCCCACCCCTCGTTACCTCTCCCCCTCCCCTTTCTTTCTTTCTCTCTCTCCGACTGGCCTTAATCCCCCCCAACCCCAACCCCAACCCCTGCCCCTTTCTCTTTCTCTCTTTCTTACACCTCTCTGGTTCTCTCTCTTTCTCACTCTCGGGTTTGCAAATCGGGCTGCTCCGGTGCTTGGATTCCCTCTCGCTCGCTCGGTCGCTCTCGCGGGGAGGGGGGAGGGGGTAGGGGGAGAGGGGAAGGGGGTGGGGGTGCGGGTGTGGGGGGGGGGGGGGGGAGCTTGAGCGGCGAGGTGCCAGCCTATTCAGGCCCAAACTCCTCGGCGCATTCCCCGCTGGCCCAAAGCTGAGCGACGCTGCGACGGTTTGGGTTCGTCGACGGTGCGCGTCCAGCTAGACATGCGAACGTGGATGCGAACACTATTGCTGATGCTCTGACTGTCCCGGCCACCATCCACCCTGGCACGGCGCTCCTTTTCGCCCCAAAAAAGATCCCCCTCCTGCGACGACCTTCTTCTCCTCTTCGAGATAAGGTGCCAGCCAGCCGTCAGAGTTCTTCGGAATGAATCCAGTCCCGTCCCGTCCCCCACCACCCGTCCTGCCCCTTTCCCGTCCCCCCTCTAGCTGTCACTTCTGTTCTCTTGCCCCTCACCCCCCCTCCGGCCCCCTTTTCTCCGCTACGCGACACCCCCCGTCCATCATGATGGTGCCCATCCGCTCACTGTTTCCGTCAGGCCCCCCCTCACGTCTCCGTTCTGTTCTCTTCTGCCCCCGCCCGGCCCCGATCCATTTTCTCCCCGCGTTGTCAATCTGCGCGATTATTTTCCGCCCGTCCCCCATCATCATCATGATCGTCTTCTTCTTCGTCGGGTCAATTGCTGTTCTAAGCTGGACGGGACCGCTGTTTCTCGCAGATTTTCAAGGATATAGATTGATTGATTCCCAGCTCAGCGGACGGTGATCGCACAGTGCGCAATGTGTGTTGAAAGGTGTCTTTATATGGTCAATTCATCGGCGATCCGCAGGACTATTGTCCTTTGTACTGCACTTATGATTATCAGGAAACGACACTTTCTCTCCGCTGATGAGGGGCTTATCCTTGTCCCAGATTTCTCGATCAAATCTCCTCCTCCCTTTCCCCTCGTCCGATCCTAACTCCACTTTAATGTTCTCTTCCCCTTCGATTCATTCATTCATTCATTCCACTTTGGCAGTCTGCCATCTGCACGCGTGAGGTGGGGTGGGTTTAAACTCATGCTTCTCAGAATCCCCTTCTAACGATTTCAGAGCCCGGCGTCTGTCTTTCTGTTTGGAAAGAATGATTCCCACAAGAAGAAGGGAAGAAAGAAGTTTTCGACATTCTCTGTCGAGACAGAAGATGAATCTCTTCTCAGATCGTAGACCTCATGGCTTCCTTCGGGAAAGCATTTCGTTCTGATAATGCCCATGAGTCCCTCCCTGCAAACAAAACATCAGGAACGTTATCGTCTTCGTCGTGTCATGGAAGCGAACTTCATGTTGGGTTTATGTGGAACCATTTTTGCGTGCATGGATACCAAGGCTCGAGCGAGGCCCAGACTAAGATGATGTGCATGAAGATGTATGTGTGTCAATCTGAAGGTCTGGGTGAATTGTGCTAGATGTTGGTGCATACGTTTTAGTGGCATTAATTCAGAAAAGTGTATCAGATCCATGCGCCTCCTTCTGCAACACTCGGTTCAGTTGGGACATCAAGTGAGAGATGTGAGTGACAATTAGACGAGTTACAGAAGCTTCACGTTTATTTCATGGCGTGATGATGTGCCGAAGTTTGATGTTAGCAGAATAAAACTGTTCGTTCGGTCATCAACTTTCATATCCTTGTCATAATTTCCCAAGTCAATGAGTTGCAGAATCTTACTCCTCTTCTTCTTCTTCATCATCTTCCTCGGCAGGAAAGTGTCTCTAAAAAAATTCACTCTATCTAAAGCCTTCCCGAGGAGACTTTTTGGAATGAAGCACCTTCTCAGCTGTTGGTCAAGAGAGAGATTTGGGCAGCTTGTAAGAGCGTGACCCAAGTCGTCTGGGTCCCATTAGCGTTGAATCAGATGACGCTAATCCGATGCTTTGCACCATCATGATACCGCAGCAGGAGCACGGAAGGAAATTCTTCGTCGCCGGAACTGAATAGAAAAGGGGCCAAGAGAAATGCCATCTTATCAAAAGGTGACCAACAGTTCCTGCCAGCAATTATTTCGGCATTATCTAACCCCATAGCGGAAAACAGTAGAACGAGAGAAAAAGGGCATACGCGAGAGAGAGAGAAAAACAAAATAATTAAAATGCAGGCAATAAAAGATTCAGAGTATGAGGTGACGGAAGCCTGCGGCGAAGGAGGATCGAGAGAGCAAGAAACGAAACGGAAAAAGGGGCTCGGGCTGGGGCTGGAGCCACCATCGGAGAGCAAGAAGGCCCAAAAGAATAACAAATAATAATGCACATAATCACATGACCGGTCCGGCCGATATTCTCGGCCGTCGAGTGACGGCCGCGTTGAAAGCCTGACGAGCTGGCGCCCGGCAGCCCCGAGAGTTGACGGGCACAGCTCCCGCTGCCCCTGCCCCTCGGCCCTCCGCTACCCTCTCTCCCAAGATCCTAGGCCGGATATCTATGGCCTTTGCCCCGGGTCTGTCCGGCCTCGCTGTACGTCTCCACGGGAGTGCCTGGCTGGCTGGCTGGCCGCCTGGACTACAAGCCCAAGCCCAAGCCCAGGCCCAGGCCCGCCTGAAATAGTAAGCCGGTCCGCGCTCCTTGTTCTTGGGTGGCGAGCATGTGTCTAGGTAGGTAGACTACCAGTACCACAGCCCGTGAGCGATCGGACCCTCGGAGCCATGGGCCCAAATATACCACCACCGGTGTTGACATACTATTCTTTCACCTCCCTCCCTCTCCGCTGGAGTGCCATCGTCTGAAAAGGCCTATTTATAATTCCTTTTTTCTCTCTTTCTTTCCACTCGAGCAGTGCAGTGCAGATGCAGATGCAGCAGCAGCGGCAGTCCCCTTGCCTTCTGTTCTGTTTTGCTGTTCTGTGCTTTTGACTATTCCCTCTTGTGCCCACGGTGTCAGACACGGCATCAACGCCGCTTGGGCGAATGGCATTTCTGGAGTGCACCGTAAGCATGTCCTCTCTCCCCTCCCCTCCCCCTTACCCCTTCCCTCTCCCAGACCGGACCGCTGGTGGTCTTGCTAGAGGACGGACCAGAACACCATTCCCACCCCGATGCTGCTTCTGCTGAATAATTCTAGCCTCGGACGAGTACACGTGTGCTTGCAGTCCATGCCATCGACTGCGATCGTTCGGGAAGATGTGGACTTTAGATTCTGGATTTCGGATTTTGGATTTTGCATTTTGGATCGTGCTCGGTGTTGGTGAGTGGGAGGGTGGGCAGGGGAGGGGAGTGGTTTCACAGCAAGTTGAGTGGATGGGGACTTTGGGGGACATATCAGGACAGATTGATATTCATTGATTGATTGAGTGTTTGTATGAGAAAGTTTGGCGATCTGCAGGCTCTCTGCTGCTGCTTCCCTAGGTCCGTCTTGGTCATACGTGGAAATACTACAAATCATACCGATGCCACCCGCTCGTGGCGGCGATGGCTTGTGATGCAGGTCATGGTGGACTCGCAGCCATGTGGAGGTTTCAGAAAAAAATTTCAGGTGGGGCAGAATTGACCTTCTGGTGCTTAACTACCCACAGCAACACGCAAACACGAGCACAAACAAAATTCAAGCGAGCAAATACATACAAAGAGAAGCTTCTGCCCATCCAGCCATTCATTCTCCAGGCCTTGTATATGGATCTCGGTCTGTGGGTCCTCCTCGAGCCTAATCCGGGGCCGGTACAAAAGCAAGAAAAGGAAAGCGGTGGAGGAGTACAATGAGATATATTAAAAGAGCCTGCGGGCACACATGCAGCTTTCGAGAACTGGGACTTAGACAATCCAGTTTGCACCAATTTGCCGTAATCGGGCGCCTAGTAGGACACCAGGCTGTGACATAATCCCCATATCCTCTCTGTACAATTGAACGTCGGGGACAAGGCCAAATCTCTCACCCTTAAATCGTGACAAGTGTATTCGGTGCTGATGCAGAGGCGTAGAATTACACCAAGGTTCAGTCCCACCATAGCTAACAGACTTCTCAGATCACGGCCTGTAGTGATGAATCGGTCTCTCTTTTCCGCGCAGTCTTCTCGAAGACGAGGGCATTGCGTAAGCACGACACTCGAAGCGAGACTCGAGCTTTCCCGCTCGAAAGCTCATTGATGTGAGGGTGAACTTCCTTGACACGCTCCGACTTTTCCATGGCTCTCTCCCGACAGTCTGCGCGAAGCTACTGGAGGAGGAGGAGGCGAGTGCTAACGAACTGCATGACAAGGGAACCGCAAGTCGATGGGGCGTGTCCTGGATTGGGGCTTGAGGTACGACCGCGGTCCGTATACGAAACGACAACGACGATGCGGGCAGGAAGGATTTGAGTCCATATTTGGGCCCAAATCTTCTGCCTTCCGCACGTCTCATGATGATTGACGTTTGACCTCTTTCGCTATCCGCCACCTCGGACCTTTAGATGCGTGGCATGGATACTTTCCTGTCTCTACATGACTCGTCTGCACTTTGCCGAGGATTTTGGCAAAGGACGTGGGCTGCGTTATTGTCAATCGGCACAAGCATCTTCCGTGAAAGGGTATAACACATCGAATGTAGAACTCTTGCCAGGCACATTCCCCACGGAAGAAGAGACCAGAATCGGATCGTGATCGACAGCTGAGCTAGCATTGCTCTTCCTGCCAAGGTGTTGTTGTCTGCCGATTATGGGTATGGTAAACAGACTAAAAAATCTGGATATGCTGCGACCAGGGTTAGGATACTTCCTTGCCATGAGGCAGCCTGTGAGAAACTTGGAGCTACACACTTCGGAGTTGCAGTTCAGCCGCTTCAATTTCCCAATTCTGGGTAGGGCAGTGAAGTCCTCATACTGGGCACAAATCCAACCTCAGAATGACAGAAACAAACCGACCACGAGAAGATAAGCATGCCACATATGCAAAGGAAAGTGAAGGCCTACGGGAGATGTTCGACAAATTGCTTCACACATTCCCGGAGCAAATGCGGTGGATATTTTCAGGTTGCCGCAGTGATGGAAACTAGATTTCGTCCAGAAAAATTCGCTTCTTCGAACCATGGAAGAAAAATTGAAACTTGGATGGAGTCCTGTGACAAGTACTCAAACTAGGTCCCGAGAAGTCAAATTTGCCCAACCTTCACTACGACCAACTCACCCATGGTATATCCGCAAAGGCAAATTTGAATATTGCAAAGACCTTTCGGAAAGATCGGAGCCAGTTGGGCGAGACAATATGTAGAGGATAACAAGTCACAAAATACATTTATGATTTGGCTCAGAGGACAAACAACTGAGTCGACGAAGATGAGGTACAAGTTGGCGAGGAAGATACTGAAATGCATCCAGCTGAGAAAAGTAGGGCTGTAGGTCTGAATGCAAGAATCCACAGGTAATTGAATACACAGAAGTTAAAAGTATCGGACACCTAAGGTGACATTTCTCTGATATAAACACAGAGCCAAAGGAAACGAATACTTCGAATAGCCTTCAGGGGAAAAAATAACTTTCACAACAGACTGACACTTCACTTCATGCAGTGACTGGCATGTGTGTTGTTACGGCTGCACTGACGGACTATATTGACTGAAGGGCCCCCAGAACTGCACGAGCAAGAAAGCACAATAATAGAATTCCAAGATCCCAAAAAGAGTGAAAGCTTCTGTGGTGGATCAGATATATAACAACAGGAGTGCAATAGAGAACATTGTCGTTGTGAAGAAATTTCGCGTCGTGAGTGATTCTCTCGGGCTATATCTTGCCGTCCAAATGTTACAGTAAGCTTTCGGAGTGGCAATAATATAATCCAGATACCCAAAAATACTTCTCACCTTTACAGTAAGCTTAGAAGTCCTACAGACATTGAGAAGTTTCCACGAGACTAGACCTTAATGTGAGTCGCTCGGATTGAGCCTAGTCTCCTAGCTCGGATTGAGCTCGGATTGTGCCGCATACCGTGCTCGACGGAAATCGTCCAGCTACATGCTGATTTTTCAGAAGGACCAACCCTAATCCTTCTGAAAACTATTCATTCATTACGGGCTTGTTCTCGTTGGCCTTGGGCTTCTGAGTGTTTGGCTTGTGCTCTTCCGACTTCCTGGAACGATCAATGCAGCGCACATAATGAGTGCGCAAACACACACGGTTACAAATACAACCAAACCAAAAGTCGATAATAGCTAATAAGCACAAAATAACTGAGTAGGAAAAGCTGCAAACAACGGAACACAACCAAAAGAGTCGTCCACCAAACTGGACACAACATCTTGTCTAATCACATTTTCTCCGGAAACACTTCATGCGAACTAAACACAGGACATAACAGTACTAGACGGCAAAAGGTAGCACGAAGCATCAAGAGACAATTCGGGAAAGGGGTCATCCCTCGCAGAGAAATCTACGAAGACATAGCACATTCAAGGAGCAGACACGACTGTCAATTGGTCAAAGAAATCAATCCTTCAAACATTAGCATTACGTAAACCCTTGAAGCGATTAAGAATGACGAATCGCAAGCAAAAGAGTACTGGAAACAGAAAAAATCGGAAACGCACCTCTTGTCGGCGGCACCACCCTTCTGACTCAAGAAGGATCGGAAAAGAGCGGAATTCGCATCATAGATCATCTTCGCGGGCGAATGAGAACACTGTCACAGGAGCCGATATCAAACAGCGGCAGGAAAAGCAATTTCACAAGCAAATAGCGATGAGCGATGGACGATGAGCAATGCGCGACGAGCAGACGATAACCTCGAGCAAAGCGCAATGTTTGCGGATAGAGCCCGGATTTGCGTCGTTTCGGCCGAATTTAGGGCTAGATGCTTTCTGCTTGCTTAATCGAGACTCCGACGGGCGAGAGCTTCGTTGTCTCCATCCGTCGACGACACTCCCCGTAACGGAAGTTTTCCATCTAGTGTATTGACCCGGCACATATATATATATATATTATATTTAGATATCTTGGCTGGAATTTAAATTTATTGGTATTTTTTTCTCCAATGATTTTTCATGGTGTATCTACCATTTCATTGATTATATAATGAACAAATAATCAGATACCAATTAGATCAAAAAATTCAACGCAAAGATAATGCCAAGCTAAGTCTTTCACCATCTAGTTGCTCATCGAGCACATTGTGTGAACTAGGCCGACCTTTTAATTGACTTGGAAAGTGGTAGTTGAAAAAATTGGTCACGAGAGGTAACCTTGCAAACAACAAACCATAGGAATGATAAGAAGAAAAGAAACTAGCGGGGTATCTAGAATAAAAAACATCAATAAAGTAGAACCATAGGAATGATAAGAAGAAAAGAAGCTAGCGGGGTATCTACAAGAAAAAACAGTAGTACAGTAGAACCATAGGAATGATATGAAGAATAGAAGCTAGCGAGTTATCTAGAAAAAAAACAGCAATACAGCAGAACCTGCTTAAATTAATATTGTCTAACTTAATAACCTGTGATAACTAATATATGCAATCCAGTCCCAAGTCGGGCTTGGATACTTATTAATAGACTTCCAGAAGTTAATAATTAATATTCCACAAGTAGTCCCAAATCTTTTTTACATTAAAAACCAATGCAGAGAAGTAAACGTTGGAGAGAAATGACGTGGGTTGCGAGGTGCGGAGACCGCAGATGAGGTGGATGGATACAAAGGACATGTGTCACGTAACTTCTGACCTGATTGTTCCGATTCGGATTCTTTCTCACGGCAGCCTTGCCAAGAACAACAGAACATCAAAGTGCATTTGTTCACTTACTTGATCTCTCTCATCTTCCCTTCCTCTTTGAAGCCATTGGGTTGTGAATCTGGTTGTGGCTCCTAACCAGGTGAACACAACTGTTACAAATGAAGCAACTCTCAAGTATAAGTGACTGCCGTCTTGATTTTTTTTCCTCTAGAGGTTTGCCGACAGCGCTATATCGCTACTGAGCTCAATACAATTCAATCTCAAAACATGTCTCGTTGTTATATCGAGACTTTAAATTTTCATTCAAAACCAATAATTCTAGTCAATGTGCAAATAACTGTACTCCACAAATGATGCTAATAGAGAACCTCTATTTATTAATAATCTCTCTAAATTAATACAGAATCGCCAGTTCCGACAGTATTAACTTAGCCAGGTTCTAATGTATCATGAAGAAGATGAGCTCAAGGGCGTCCTCACCCTACTATACTCTACAAAAGAGAGTTAGGTGATTGGTCATAGGTCAAATGCAAGTAAAAGGACGTGACTCGGATATAGTTTTCAAGAGAACAATGAAAATGAAGAATTAAAAGTAGGGTAGAGCATGGATTGTTCTTACAGAAGAAATTGTCAACCCATTCCCATGAACCTGAAGAGTTTTTGTTACGTGCAAACATTTCAATGAATCTTGAACATGTACTTGGCTATGTGAAACGTGTGTACCACGGACGCACTTGAACTCATCTTTTTCATGATATTGTTGTTTTTATTCCTGTAAACTAATGATACTAGTCTTCTTTACAGAGCTTCCTATTTTTTGATCATGCCTATAAATTGCGACGGTTGCTGTTTGCAAGATTACTCTCACACAATGTGGTCGATGAGCAACAAGATGGCAAAAACCTTATACGATGACATTATGTTAGCATTGAATTTTCCATCGAGTAGAATATTAAATACTTTTAGGTCTTTTTGTACAACTGGATGGACGAACTATTCGTGTACATACTCAAGTACCCCGTTTACAAGCGCATGGGAGCAAAGAACAAATGGCCAACCCATTCCATAAATCTGCACTACTTTTGATTCTTCACTTTTTTCTGTTCCCGCGAAAACTATATTCTTGTCCCGTCATTGTCCGTGCATATGACCTCCAATCAATCACAAATCTCTATCTATAGAGTATAATATGATGAGAAATTATTAGATTAATCTAAAGGATAACTAGTCGTTCACTTTTTTTTCCAGCTTTACATCTTATCTTATCTGTAAAAGTGTTTACGTATTATGGTAGTTGTTTGTACTTACATCATAATTCGTGAAGTTTAATACTAGTTCAAAGTATTCTTCGGATTTAGTGAGTGAAAATGAAAGTATGGAAACATAAACATATTCTGTTGTACCAACTCCGAAGGCTTGATATGAACAGATGTTGATCAAACTCCCCAAAACAATTAGGACTTTTAGAATTAACAAAATTGTTTAAACCCTAATCCATAAAATTTTGTTGTCCTAGCATACTGCAATATGTAAGAAAAGAAGCAAAGACATGGAAGAATCCATCAAGTCTAATATGATTGGGATAGACAACACACCATCAAATTTCTTAAATATATACATAATATTGAGTAATTTCAACTATGTGGATTTAATAGAATTACTAAAAAAAAAGCCCTTAAGCTATTGCCAAATAGCCAAATACCTGTTGTGTAAATCAAGCAACAGAACATGATAACAAAGGTGATGTGTTTTCTAGCTATGTTAGCAATGGTGTGAAACTATGTATAAATTTTGTAATGGTTGTTGAAATGGTTGAAAACACAAATTCGTAATAAGACAGATAGCTTTATGCACTAAGTATGTTTGTACATAGAGTGTAATGTAATTCTCAATCACGGTTTGTTTTCAAGCATTAACTTATTGTGAGCCACTACAACGATCATCTACTGAATAGCGGGTCCATTGGTAGATCCTCTGCAGTATGATCCGGACAAATCGCTGTATGTGTATCGTGATTCGCAACAGTGAAATTGTGAAATCAATAACTCTTGACGGTGGATCCATTTGGCGGAGGTGGGACTAGGGATGGGCACGGCTCGGCTAACGGCTAGCTGGCTAGAAATTTTTGTGAGCCGGCTAGCCTGTTATATAGCCGGCTAGCCGTCGGCTCACCGGCTAACGTGAGTGCTACGTGTCGAGATATGCTTGACACGTCTGACAATTTAGTGCAAAGAACTATATTCTTTTTTCATTCTCAATGTAATCTGTCACCTCATGTACGCGAGTTCCATTCGAGTCTTGCAATGCGAACCACTTACTACTGCGGATGTGAAAAACTCACCAATTCTTTCCATTGATGTTGAATTCGACAGAGATTAAAACTTCTATTCAAGAAGTAGCCAGATCCCAGATTGAAGTAAATAAACACAGATAACATTTCATTCTCGAGAAACTAAACACATATAACATTTCACTCTCGAGAAACTAATCTGAGAGATGTGAAAATAACTCACAAATTACTTCAATGTATCACGAATTTAATAAACATTAATCATAAACCATCACTCACGAATCAACTTGACCACAAATCTCACTAATCAAACAGAGTTAACACTCACTGCTTCATTCTCGAAAAACTGATCTGAAAATTTGAGAACTGGAATCATTTGAAAATAACTCAGGAAGTAATTCAATGGTCACAATTTTATTAGAAATTAATCATAAATCATCCCTCACGAATCAACTTGATCACAAATCGCACTAATCAAACAAAGTTAACACAGGGTTAACACTCCCTCCTTCATTCACCAAAAACTGATCTAAAAACCTGAGAACTCGAATCATCTGAAAATAACTCAGGAAGTAATCCAGTGGGTCACGATTTTATTAGAAATTAATCATAAACCATCACTCACGAATCAACTTGACCACAAATCGCACTAATCAAATAGAGGTAACACAGGGTTAACACTCACTGCTTCATTCTCGAAAAAACTGATATGAAAACCTGAGAACTGGAATCATTTGAAAATAACTCAGTAAGTAATTCAATGGGTCACGATTTTATTAGAAATTAATCATAAACCATCACTCACGAATCAACTAGACCACAAATTGCAGTACTTAAACAAAGATAACACTGAGTTAACATTGAGTTGTTTCATTCTCGAAAAACTTTTCTGAAAACCTGAGAATTTGAATGATTTGAAAATTCGTGACCCACTGAATTACTCACAAAGTAATTCAGTGGGTCACGAATTTAACATACATAAACCATCATCCATCATTCACGAAACAGTTAGATCACAAATCAAAGTAATTAAACAAAGATGATACTTAGTTTCTTCATTTTCGGAAAACTAGTTCAAGAACTTGGAACTTGAGTAATTCAAAAATAAATCACAAATTCATTCAATGGATCACGAATTTAACAAAAATCAATCACAAACTATCATTCACGAAACAGCCATACCACAAATGGAAGTAAATTCAACACAGATTGCAAAGTAAATTAAGTTTCTTCATTTTCAGAAAACCAGTCCAAGAACCTGGGAACCTGAGTAATTCACAGGGATGTTTTATTTATTTCATTAAACAGCCTCTTCCATGATTGCAACTTCATGGTAGTTTCGATGGATGTGTCACATAAACGGTTCCTCTCAGCAGTGGCAATAGCACCGCTATCTGAAAATGCAGATTCTGATGGCACTGAAGAACCCATGCACATTAAAGTTTCGCGTGCAACGAGTGACAAACGAGGAAAACGCTTGCGTCCAATTTCTGCCCACCAGACTACTGCATCGTCGCATGATTCATCTCCGGTCTTCGTAAACTGCAAAAAATCTGTAATTTCTTTGGAGACATCATCTCGGTCACTGTTAAATTCAAATGTTGGAGCTCGTGCTCTACGTGCAGCAATAAGCATACTTCTGATACTGTTTTTTAAAGCAGAAGAAGAAGCATGTTCATGTGTACCTTCTATACCATATTGTTGTCAAAGAATTTCTCGAAGGCGTGTCGTCAGAGGTCATATTTCTTCATCTGTCTTTGGAACTGCAGATCAAGTGCTAGAGCTAACATTGGTAACGGGCCAGTCAAATGCTCTTGATATTTTTTTAGTTTTATTATCAATGCCCTCGCAGCATCTTTAGACTCAGGTGCAGTGAAACTAGAATTAATCGTACCGTTAATGGTGTCTTGGCAATGCGTTTTCAAAGATTCAAAAACTAAAGGTTGATTTGACAGAGTTGCATATCGGCCGCTAGATAAAATAGTCGTTTCATAAGCGGGAGCAAGAAAATCTTTAAAACACTTCAATACCCTCCATTCAATTGAAGTCAAAGTCACAAGCTTACTATAATGTTCAGACATGTTTGACAGAGATTGAAACGCTTCCATGAGACTGTAGGAGTAATCAATCATTATAAACATAGTATTCCACCTATTCTCCACATCAAGCCCAGGAACTTCCTTCGTCTCGTGTTCTCGCGCCCCTAGAAGAACTTGGACCTTCTTGAAGTAGCACGCATTCGAGATGATAAATGTATCGCCTTCAACATTGCACGGAGTTTTTCCACCTTGGGTTTCAAAATTGCTTCACTGTCAATCACAGCCCGATGCCTGATATGACACACACAGCAAAGGTGCTATCTATAGTCTAGATTAACAGAAAATTTATTTTTCAGTTCGTCTCTTAGATGCTGGAAAGCAGGAATCATTTCACTGGCATTGTTAGTCGTTGCAGCTATAATTTTCGTGTGCAAATTTGCTGAAACTAAAGATTCCAAAATAAGTGACATTGTTGACCACTGATCGTGAGGTGGTGGAAAATACTTAAAGTCAAGGATACATTCACGCAACATCCAGGTTTTGTCAATCCAATGAAGCGTAATAACAAAATAACTTCGCAAAGTTCTAGTAGACCACCCATCACACGTAATTGCAACTCTTCCTAGAATAGCCTCTACAATATCACAAAATTTTTTCGTAGCCGTTTTCATCTCGTCCGATATGGCTCGAGTAAGACTTCGGCGCGAACAGCCAGGCCAAAACCAATTTAGAGCGTTTGTCATTTGTTTGAAAGAAACTGATTCAACTGAAGAAAAGCTTTGCTTCGTGTCAATTACCCAATCTAACACACTCGTCATGATCTTTGCCTTCGTCTCATCATCAAGAACGTTATGCACTTCTAAAAATGAACCGGATTTTGTAAATGTGGTTTGAGAAGGATCACCTGGCAATGCGCCTTCCAGTGATTCGCGCGTGATGCCATGACTGTTCCTCAGATGTAGAACTAGATTTGAGATCGCCGAAGTGGTTGAATAATTTCTTGAACAGGACTTGCTCGCAATGCAAGCAAGTCAGTTGGATCCTTGTACAGGTACAAAATAAGGACGAACCCAAGAGGTGCGTTTTCGTTTTTCTGTACGACGCCCGCTGGAGGATACTGCCAGTGAAGACAAAGGTAGAACAGCAAGTTCACCATTCTCAGGTTCTTGGTCTTGGTCCATGTCTGAGGTGTCTCTGCTGTTCCTGTTTTTGACGTCAAAATTCTCGTGTGCAAGGATGATATGTTACTGTTTTCAAAAATACTTCACCACTAAAACATGGAGAGAAGTGTTATTTGCGCAAAGAGAAGACAGACACGTGTTTGTATTTCCGAAATATAAGGCGAGCCTTTTAGCCAACGGCTAGCCGGCTAAACTTGGGGCACTAGCCGGCTAGCCGTTTGTATCGGCTAGCCGGCTAGCAATGGCTTAGCCGACTGCGTGCCCATCCCTAGGTGGGAGCGATGAGGAAGAAAAAACAAAGTAAGTCGCCAGTGGTGCTCCTAAATCAAAGACAGTGGATCCGCAATGGACAGAAGTACCAACTAAATAGGTGTTAATCCAAGAGCAGAACGAGTTGTAGCTTCAATGGATAGATTGACTTCAAATTCAATGAATAGAGAGCAGTCGGAAGCAATACTAACAAAGCAGGTCTGAGGGTGGATCATTATCAAATAACACAGCATTAGTTTCTTCAAAAGCAATCTTGCAATGATCATCATGACCATTGAAATAACATTCCATATGGTTTGTCTCAGACATCTTAAAATTCTTGAGAGTGTTATAGGAGATTTGATGCCCTTTGAGTTTCATCTAAAGATAATGCTAGCAATAGTCATTTGACCAGTGTATCTCCTCTCACACTCGTTGAAATTGTCCAAATTTAAACTCAAAATAGACTATGAAGATCTATTATTGTCGCTATGATGAGATCTTTCTTGAAACCGTTAAAGAAAGTTACAAAAATTAATATATCTCTTAGAAGAATAATCACAAGAGTCATGACGACAATTAGATTCATTGTGATTTTGATTTTTTGAGTATATCTTGTCAAAAGTAGTGTTTCTCGCCATCATTGTTAGATTGCCGATATAAGACAATTATTTCTTATCAAACAATACTGTTTCTTATCTCGGTTGTGGCGATCTTGGCTGCAATGGCAATCATTCCAACAATCCCGTAAAAAATTACATAAGTGTATAAGGATTTTGAATAATACTAGTTTTAATGTAAAAAGCAAATATGAATCAACTCGTGAACAAACTCATCAAGACAAGTGATATAATATCTGAATCTTTACTCATATCATTGCAGTTTAACACTGATGAATTCTCATTAGTGAGGAGAGTAAAATACTTCAGAATGTAAAAGTGTTATAAATAATACTAGCTATAATGAAAAAAAATAGTATCAATGAAATCATGGACAAACTCATCAAGAAAAGAGATATAATTTCTAAATCTTTCACAGTATCATTGCAGTTTAACAATTGTTTAGTGAGGGTTTTCATCTCGCGCATGTGATTGATTGACTTTCTCTTGTTGAAAGGTTGGACAGTTCACTACGCAAGACCTTGCATCTGTTCTTACTTGTTGAAAGAAATAGTCTCTAGCTTTGTCCACATCGGGTGAAAGTTAGACATGGAAGAGATATGATATTCAATGTGTTCGCCCATGTTTATCATAATATAGTAAACAACATCATCGCATTGTTCAAGAATGGTGTGGATTTTATCTTGAATATATTTTAGTCGTCTCTTGTTCTTGCTTGGCGGTAATTGTATTTGTAGGTGCTTGATCAGTTGCTATTTCAAAAATACACACTTTGCTAGAGCAATGTTCCCTTCAATTGCCACAAAACATTTCTTTTTGTGTAATATGATATTTGTGCAGCTCAAGCAATGTAGTGGTCGACGCCATCTAACTTCTGTTTTGGATCAATATGCTTTGCTTCTCTCGAGGAATCCATGATTCCTAACGAAGAGAGGAAAATAATATTCAATTTTTAAGTACATCAAGTTAAGTCATTCTCAAGCTAAAAAAAAACACTTACGTTTGTGATACTATGTTGAAAACAATGAAAAGATATTCAATTTTTAAGATAACCAAGTTAAGTCATTCTCAAGCTTAACTAGAGGATTGAAAGAAAAAACACTTAAGCTTGTGATACTAAGTTAAAAACAATGATTTGTAATCAAACAGACTGCTGTAAATATGTTATAACAAGGTTACTAAAACGTTTATAGTGGTATGTTACAGGATATGTTATAACAAGGTTTCGGTATCAGATTTCGTTATGTTCCTCGATGGCTTGAGTGGTAAGAAGTGCTTTCTCTTTAAGTTGCAAATGAAGCCACATATATCTGAAAAGGTCTCCCATGAACGATCTGCCAAGTACTTGAACTCTTGCACAAAAAGTTCTTCACATAGACGATGGATTGAGTAGTAAGAAGTGCTTCCTCTTTAAGTTGCAAATGAAGCCACATATATCTGAAAAGGTCTCCCATGAACGATCTGCCAAGTACTTGATCTCTTGCATAGAAAGTTCTTCACATAGACGAAACGTAAGATGCGTGTAGTACAACTTTGATGACAGAATCATCGAAAGAATCAGACAAGAAAGTAATGTAGAAAAGGAAATTGGCAGGGAAGAGTCATCGGTAACAATCGGTTAACTGTAGGGTGACAACACCCTCGTAAAAGATGGATAAAAAGCGAGAGTTTGCTATGCAGTGACACTTCGGTTGACTGAATAACTGTTGCAGCGGAATGTGAAAATTGCAGGCAACGCAGAACTCTCTGCACGAGAATTTCGTAGCGTCATTGATGAATGATACATATGTGTTTGTAGTGTATCAACTGCAACAGTTTGCAGCTCGTGCCAAGAAGCTATGATTGAGGTTATAGAAAGAGCACTGGACCTCATCCGGATTTACACATGAGATGAGATGATTTGATGGCCCAGCCCAGACCAGCTCAGCTCAGCTCGTCTCTCGTCTTGAAGTCTGAAGCATTGTGTATCGACCACACTCTCTACAGTTGGAAGACCAGATTTGATTCAGCACGGTGGACAACCTGTGGACGGGCGGGTGGGTGAAATCACAAGCATCCATACACGATGCACAAGATGTGCATAACGCTGCTACATCGAATTGTCTCGGGCAATGACTAGCACCTACTCCTTCCCTCGAGCTCGTAATTCTTTCTTTCTTTGTTTCTTCTTCTTCTTCCTCTTCCTCTTCTTCTTCATCTTCTTCATTCGTTGGCATCTCTTATGAACCTCGTTCGGAGTCCTGTCTAAAGATTCGACATCACGCAATAATGTCACGTTGTTCGGTGTCCCGAGGGTTCAGCGCCAGAGCTTAGCATGACATAGCAAAGCAGATCAGAAGGAAGAGACGAGTCAATCCGGAGGCCGACTCAATTCGAGATTCCGAGGCTGGATTCCGCAGATTTGTCGAGGTTCGAGTTCCAGCCCCAAGCACGAGCTTCGAGCTTCGAGCCGAAGAGCGGTATGTCTGGCAACGGGCGCACGCCCTCCCACCGGGCGGGGCGGGGGTTCCACCGGCGCAGCGCGGGAAGAGGAAGGGGAAGGAAAAGACGGAGAGAGTGAGAGAGAGAGAGTGAGTGAGTGAGAGATAGAGAGAGAAAGAGAGGGGGGAATTGCAGAAGCGGCGACTAGTCCACGAGAACGAGCCGGCTGTACTCCTCGCCCTCGAGGGCTTGCTGCATGACGAGATTGGGGTCCATTTCGCCGTCCTTCATGAGGAAGATCTTGAGGAGGTTCTTCGAGAACCCCGAGACGAGGGCCACGCCCGGTTGGCTGGCCAGCACGGGAGTGCTCCTGCTGTCGCGCAGATTCCAGAAGACGATCTGCGGCGGAGTGTAGCCGGCGTCTTTGTACTTGCGGCAGATGGCTTGGTAGTCGGTTTCCCAGGGATTGGCCGACGCGATGTCGAATTCCATGTCGCTGAAGACGAAGAGGCGGCTGACCATCTTCTCGGGGCTCAGCTTGTTGCTCTGGGCCATGTCGAGAATTCGGTCGAAAACCGCCTGGAAATTGGTGTTCGAGCCCCAGTCCATTTGCTGCGTGAAGGAGTAGCGCTCGGCCAGAGTCGTGCCTTGGACTTTATGGATGACGGGGGTCTCGCTGAAGGTGATGAGGTGGTTCTTCCAAGGCTCGTCGGCGAGCTCGCACAGCAGCATGCCCAGCGCGATGCACACCTCCATGGGAATTCCGTCCATGCTCCCGGACACATCGCAGACGGCGAGGCAGTTGCTCAGGCTGCCCTTCTCCTTGAGGTCCGACACCATGCGCTTCCACTGAAGCTCGGCCACCTCGGCCAGCTGCGGGTCCTGGTCCGGGTCGGTCACGCCCTTGAGAATCATGTGCGGCAGCAGCGCGCCCGCGGCGATTTTGGCCTTCCCGGCCTTCACGTCCTCGAGGTACTTGGTGAATCTCTCCTCGTCGTGCTTCAGGAACAGATCCTTGTACGTCTTCATGGCCACGGACGCCACTCGTTTGTAGTTCACCTCGCCCCACTTCTGCGCGCTCATGACGATCTCCGGCAGCTCCAGCGCTCTCCTCAGCGGCACCAGCACTTCCTTGCGCAGCCTCTCGCGCACCGCGAACCCGTACTTGCGGTCGTCCAGCGCCTCGTACTCGGGGCTCGCCTCCTTGGGGAACATCTGGCACGCGATGGCGTAGCACAGCAGCGTCCGCAGGTCGAACGAATTGTCGAGCGACGGCGCCCATTTCGCCGCCAGGCTGATCTCGAAGAGTCTCCCTTCCTGCAGCGCCTTCACGTCTTGCAGCAATCGGCTGGCGAACACTTTGGCCACGGCCAAGTAGAGCGCTTGGAATTTGGGGTCCGATGTGTAGGCCTTGACTGCTCTGCGTGCCAGCGCCAGCTTCCTCTCTTTGCGCAGCACGGCGGCTTTCTCCTTCGTCACTCTATCGGCCACCAGAGATGCGGCAATTCGCTCCTCTCTGGGCTTGAGAGTGCCGGCCGTCTTCGCTTCTCTGGCCTTGGCGCCCTTCCTCGAGTAGTACCCGGTTCCCGCATTCTCGAAGCTGTACATTCGTTTCATCAGCGTCACCTTCGACGCCAATTCCGAGCTGTCGGGATTCTTCCGCGCCTCCACCATCGCGTTCCACAGCTTGGCATTCTCCTTTCCCTGTTCGATAGCTGCACATGAAAACCTTCATCAGACTTCCGGCATTGCATCCCGATTCTCTAAGTTCCTTACAAATTTCAACGCAAAGAGGAGCTAGTGAGTGTCCAAATTCGGATCTCGTTGTGGTAAGGGCTCTTGACTCTTCTCGACTACTCGTTTGCCCCGTCCAGTTCCTCGGATGGCGGACATTCTCGACGGCAGAGAGGAAGCTGTTTGGGGCAGAGTCACTCTCGTCCCGATCAGTCTATCGCATTCTCGTAATCTACCTACCGACGTCGAACGATGACTCGGTCAGGATCATGGATATGGACTCGTAAGAGCTGAAAAGCCCAAAGTGGAAATCAGTGAGACCCTGAGGCACTGCAATAGCCGAGTACTACCGATAATTCGGGTGGGAAGCTGAACTTTAATCGGAATCGGAATCTCCGAGGTTTTGCCAGATGGAACTGTAAAACCACGAGCGGAGTGGAATTGGAGTTTCTCGATATCGAGCGATGCTGAATCTCGACAGCGTACAAGCACACTCTGTACTCACAATGCTAATCCGTATGTTTTTGTCCGGACATTCAATCTACGCAACGGGAGAGAATGTGATCCGAATCGGAATCCACGAAAAAGCAATTGAAAAGATGCTGGTGACCGCACTTACTCTGCTTGTGAGTTTCTTTGGCCTCGAGCTTCCTGTGTGTCTCATCCGGCCCTTCTACAATCCTCAACACAAGCTCCAGGAGATCCTTGAAGTAGCCAAACTCCGCGATCATGGCCAGATTGGCCAGCAGAGTCTGAGGATGCTCTTGCTGCATCCACAAGGCGGCGTAGTAGAAGTTCTCCTTGTCCGATTTACCAGTGCCCCTGACTCCGCGCAAGTGGAAGACGAGCTTGAGAGCTGTCATCGCATCCTCTCTCCAAGCCTTCTCCAGCAAGGCGATGATTCGCACACCAGTATCTGGAACGACCTGTGATACAAATCAGGACCGAGATCAGTGCCAGAAACACGCACCAACCAAATTCCTCAGCTGATCTTCAGCATCCAAATTGAGACTCTTTGATGGATGATGATATTACATCGAAAGGCCTTCTATCACTTATTTCTTACCTGGAAGAAGAAATCGAGGCAGCAACTACCCGAAGTAAGGTAAGTGGCTGAAAAGTTCTCGGTGTGCCCCATCAAATTGCCATGTGCATCTACGTGGGTGACCTCATTTGCTGCTCCTGGGCCCATAACCTTCCTCAAATTGTCGAGAAATTCGTTGCTGTGAGGCATCTCCGTATCCACTGGGATGACAGTAGGAACACACGGATCGGGTGCGGTGTCGACGTCGTCCATCGACACCTCGGGAGGAGGCAGGAATGGAGGCGCAGCCATGTCGCGAACCTGAAGAAATCCCAGCGATGCTCTTCTTCGTCGACGCTGACACCCCACGCGGTCAACTCAGCTGTCGATAGATCAGAAGAACCTCCTCCAATCGATCCACCAATCCTGCTCGAATCGCCTCGTCGGGCTGCAAACACTTCACCAACGCGACTGCAGTTCGCTACTCACACCGCAAGCACAAGCCCTATAAATCGACACACGAGATCGGCCAGTAAAAAGCGATGGATTCGATTGGCAAAGCTTCAACCGACTTCCGCCGTACCCGCACACCAGAAATACGTAGGCTTCACGCACTGGATCGATAGAGCTTGACCATGACGCTTGAGTAATTTGGCCCTGGGAATGTGAAAATCAGAAATGTGGACGCGTTCGTCACGTTTGGCTTCTTCGCAAGGAGGAGGAAGGGAAGGGGACCCAGTCGTACCCAAACGATCTATATCCTCCATAACACTTGGCGCTCTGCACTCTGAGACAAGCCCAATGAAGCCAATCGGCACGATTTCGGCGACATGGTCTCAGAGTACCATAAATTCCAGACAGGGGAGAACTCCGGCGACTGGGGAAACCGGTCGACGGCATCATCATGGTTGACGTGCGGTCCCAGAAGCCAGCACTCTGCAGATGGAACCGAGTCAACTCTCAGACCCATCTCCCTAACTACTGTCAGGATCCAACTCGGGTTCGGCATTCAATCTTTCCTTCACTCACTCCTGCGACAGGTGGCACGGGACTGAGGGAAGACTGGACGGGGTGAGTGGGCAAACTAGGCCTGATCCGCGCGAGACCAGGACGTCTGGATAAAGGAGATCGACTCTCGTGGTTGACTGCTCCGTCCCGTCCCGTCCTGTCCCGTCACGCCCGTTTGGATTCATCCTTTGGCTTCGTGACTGCTCGAGCTTTCGAGCCGCATAGCTCGAAAGTACTTGTGCATGGATTGAGCATGTGTTGGATGGCACTCGGCGTGACACATAGACACAGGCCAGAGACGACGAATGACGCCCTCCCTGTGAATTATCTCTGGTATCATTCAAGGTCATTTTTTGAAGCTTTCGGAGGTGGAACAAAATTAGTTCAGTCTGATCAAAGACTTTCGATCACAGTATCATTTGGGCTCCTCCGTAGAAAAGAGCTGAGATCTTTACCGGGCCAGATGTGTAACTTACATCTTGCTGAAGACAAATCTGACCCCAGAGCCTCGTTTATCACTTGTACGAGGCTACCCATGATAAGTCTGCTACTGCACAAGACCGTGGATACCTTGTATAGAGTGAGTGTCGGTATGGTTTGTAGCCTACTCCGGTAAGAGCATACCAATACTTGATTAGGGAGTACCATGTTGTGGTTGTAGACTCCATACTTGACACTCTATGGTAGTGGATGATTTCTTTGCCCATTGAAGCCACGACATCCATGGTCTACAAGTACGAGGAGATGGAGAGAGTTTAACACTTCCTCTATTTTAAGTCATATGGAGTTCAGGGTGGTGATTGTAACATGTTCATGAGTGAGATCAACCCATACTAGACCACATGAGATCTCACTTTGCTTATTATCTGAAGTTGTGTGTGTGTCCATTGCTGTACAAAGGTCCATAAACAATCGACCTGGTTACATTATGCTTCTTTAGATGTGCGTCGCCAGTGGACTGGGTGACACAGATAGGTTAACGTATATTATGTGCACCATTACGTACAGATGATCCCATTATATTGCTATTGGAGCTGAACCAATCCTACCCCTTTGGTTTCATCCGTGACGACCTCAGCAGGTTTTACAACTTCTGGCTATTCTATTTGGCTCCAAGTTGGCTTCTATGAAACTTGACGAGGCATTCTGTTCTAGCCATTTTGCTGTTTCTAAGTCGCGCTGCATGAGGCAAAAATCTCGAACTTGTGCGAGTTCATGAAGCAATCTTGCGCTTTTCGCAGAAAGGCATCTCATGGGACTAAGGTCAGCATCGGACAATATACGAAGATCGGCAGGAGGCCATGAGACAAGACGTTATCCCGGACTCCACATATCCATCACCTCCCATGGTTCTCACTGAGGCTTAAGAATGGTGGTTCATGCCTCTGGAATTTTTTCAAAAGAGAATTGTAGTGATCTCCTAAACTGAGGAGGGCCACGACGATTCGCAAAACGATCATTGTGTGTACAATCTAAACTATTTGAATTTACATTTTGAGCAAGGGCATGTTACGCAGAACATGAGCTGTCCTCAAACTATTTCAGCTCTTCAGTAGATTGAATTGTTCATGTTTTCTGAGGTTACAGTCGCAGGAACTTTTCAAAGGCCTGAACAAACATCGACAACGACCTACATACGGTGATCTAGATAGAGCGGGATGAATGAATTCTGACATTAAAATCTGATAAATGAATTGGTGTGTATGTCTTCATCAAATGTTTTACAGAACTCGGGCTTAATGTCCATAGAGTAAGTTTTCAAATGTACTGTTCAACGAAATATTTCATGTCGGTATTTCTCTTCTTATATGCAGCGAAGAGACAGGGTCGCATTATCTCTTGAAGCCGGTCGATCGTGATTTTCCTGAAAAAGTGAAAGGTCAGCCTGTTAAGATGGTGACCTTCTCGCCTTAGCTATCATGGACTTCTTCAAGGCTTGGTCGATTATCCCGAACTCTCGTTCGTAAAACAGCTAGAGACGCGGAATACAGGGACGTGCCTCATTGATGACATGTCAGCGAATTCAAATCAACTGGCAAATGCGCTTTAGTGAGGCAGATTTTAGCTGAGAGGAGTTTTGTCGGCTGATTGATCGGTTGATTACTCCAGCGTACGCGATTTTGTCTCAGTGCAAATCCTCCATGACGAACCTGCACAGACATCGGCGTACGAGACAATACACTTCTATCTAAGACTGATCAATTTCACTCAACTATGATCAAGAGTTAGATCATTTTTCCTTGAAGAGATCATCAATGGAGCTCTCTCGTGTTGATCTTTCTTCCCGCTACACCTGCACAGCCAACTCACCCGGAGAAAGTAGATCTGACCTACAACAAATTTGCAAGACAAAGTAATCATCGAGTAAAACGAAAATCAAGAGAAAAATATGCTTACCTCGACTGGATTCCTGTCTATCAATATCTGCCATAGCCGTGCTGGTGAGGTTTAAGGATAACATTACCTGATAACTCGATTTCCTGATCATGAAATCTGACGCACTATCATACCACAGCATTTGGAACCCATCGCAAATACTTCACTCGGTCCGTGCTTGCTGCCGCATCCGAGAGTCGCATCGAGGGAACTGTTGGGTGCACTTCTGGAACAAACCAGAGAACGTTCTGGGGGTTGCCAACCTCTAACACGTGACCAAAATGCCAGTTCGTTGAATCACGCCTGATGGACAAGTCTTTCACGTCCGATAGAAGGGCGAATACTCATCTTTTTTGAAGTTGACAGCAAGCAAATCCTGAAGAAAATCATCATCCACTGGTCCCAGCACTCTGGTGAGGTTGTGTCTAACGACACGTCTTGCACTTCGGTATTCCTTGCTGCCTTCGCCGTATTCCTGTTCGATTCCCCTTAGCAACTCTACCGAGAGATACATATTGAGCCCGAAGGTTCCGACATTGATCGCGCTGTAAATTGCGAGAACACGTCTCACCAAATCGATTCTCTCCAGACGAGTCACATCGTGAGGGCATTGCACAAGTTGTAGGATGTAGGCTCTTTGAAACGCAAAACGAATCCAGTTCCTCTCAGTGTCGTTCAGCTCAAAGGGTAGTTTCGCGATCGCGTCCTCGACAAGATCGACCTGCTCGCTAGCGATTTTGTAGACCTGCAGATTGGGCTCCTTCCCGATTTTATATCCGTCCATACCATAAAACTCGTTCATTTGGACCTTGTACCTTTCGTACAGCTCTGCGACAAGAGGTTCGACACGTTTGTCCAGGACGCATTTCTCACAGCTGCACTCAAAATCCCAGATCTTCATGCTGTTTGAGCGGTCCATACATTCGCTCACCACGTACGGGATCGAGATCTGCGTTCCCGCAGGCATGCTCTGGCCGGCGCGGACGAACATCGCTTTCCCCACAGTGTTGGTCGAGCAGTTGGGAACGCAGGAGTGGTTGATTAACGACGGCAGAGCCCACACGGCACAGATTTGGAACGTCGACGCTTCGTGTTCTTCGATCATGCGCTTTAGATTGGTACCAAGTCTACTGCTATTCGGGTCCCCGATTCGCGATGCGTCGAAACTGTTGAGTCTGGCTTTCGTGTAGGCAACGTTGAAACTCGGCGGCTTTAGTCTGCGATCGGGATCGGGAGCCCAATCGCTTCCAGGGATGTACAATTTCAACGGAGGTACTTCTTTCTCGTCATCCGTTTCTTCGGTACCTCGAAGATAGTGAAGCTGATACGCGTACCGCTGGGACGAGTCGAAGAGTTGCAGAAAATCGCAGGCCAGATTCACCACCCAACAGTCTGGACTATCTAGAAGAGACTCGGACCCGCCGAGGCCCAGGGCATTGGACACCAACAAAAGCTCGCCGGCTTGCACGCCCTGAGTCAAGAACAATCCCCGTCCACGATCGAGGGTGCGCCTGATCTCCACGGGACCAACGAAGTCACTGCACAGCGGAGGATCGCCGCCGTGGACAAAGTAGTCCCGGAGGTCGTACTCGCCTGTCACGGATTGATGGTAAGCGATGGTGACCTCTTTCAGCGCTTGCTTGCAACTGTCGTTCTGGGGGCGGAGCTCCAGAACCGATTCGAAGACCGCGCGCGCTTTCTCGTACTCCTGAAGACCCTGCAGGGCCTTGCCCTTGCGGAAGAGGCTCTTGACGTGGTGCGGATCGAGGTACAGAGCGTCGTCCGCGCTGCTCAGAGCCTTCTCCCACATCCGGAGCTCGAGATAGGCCTGCGCTCTGTTCGACGCCGCGACGGTCATGATGTCGTCTCCGAATGCGCGGCACCGCTTCGAGCCGCTGAGTTGAAACCCGCGGCCGATCTGAATGCATCGCGTGTAATTGTCGATGGCCTCGGAGAAGTCGCCCTTCTGGAAGTATCTGTTCCCCTCGGCGCGAACTCTTTGCATTTCTTTGCGGAGAAAGTCCAGCATGTTCGGCCCTCTCGTCACCTTTCTCAGATACCGCATCTCATTCTGCGAGAGATTGGGCACCGTCAGGATACTCTCCGTCGCGTCCGTCCCCATCGCTCAAGCTCTCGAAAGCTTCCCCGAGCTCGGAACGATGATCTAGTGTGTCGTCGTGATCTCTTCGCATGAGCGTTCAAATCAATCTCGACCTCGACCCTCGACGAGGCAAACGGACCGATTATACGACAAATGTTGAGGGTATCGTGGGATTGAAAACCCTGTATCTACGCTGCTGCTCGTGATCATGTCCGATTCATTATCTGCGCTCCCCGATCCGCTCGATGAATGGCCGATACGTCGTCTTTATCGGCTGCGTCGGTTAAGTCGGGCCAGTCTCGGAGTCCAGACGACGACTGTCGACAGCTCCGTCCGTCACCAGCTTCCTTCGTTCGTTCTCCGATCGACGGATTCCCGTTGCTTCCATTGGACCATTTCAGTCCACGCAGCGTACCCGTTGACAAACGTTCGATTGCGGACGCCGTCGGGAACTGCTCGTTGGCTGTTTCAGGTCTTACTAGCACTGAGCGAAAGAGCGAGCAGCTGGTTGGCACCCGTTTCACAAGACCGGAATAAGTCGGATTCATGAAACGAAGGAAGGTCGTTTTACCGTATTACAAGATCTAGAAGAATACTACGGAACAATCGTAGCGACTCGTTGGGAGTTGATTTTATGCTCATGCTGGTGATGGCCGTTATATGATGGCCGTTCCCACTTCAGCTGGTGATGGCCGTTATCTTCAGCTGCGTTTTGCAGCTACGGGTTTCCGAATTACTCCCGCTAATATTTGTCAAATGCGCTTTCAGATATTTAGATCTCGCAACATTCTGCTACACCAAGGACTAAGATTTTCTTCCAACATTTGAAAGGTGGTAGTAGTTGAGACGTTTAGTTAGTACAGTCGTTTACCTGTGGTTTGCAAGAATAAATCCAGGGTCACCGAATTTCAGATTTCAAAATTGAATAACTTATCTCAGACTTAGTATATCAAAGTTTGAATTTCAAAAGAAAAATCTTAAACGACACATTTTAACAACTCCTTTCTCTCATTTGAAAATACCTGATCTGATCAAACCTGGACCGACTCCAGCAAGTGAAGTGCGGTTCATAACCTGTGAGGACTAGGCCGGACTTACCGATGTTCATGGACGGTACAACATTTGGTTCACGCATCCAACTGTCAGGAATTGGCTGAGAGCGCTTCTTCAATCGAGGATCGAATGTTTCATATCAGAGTGGCGTCCTGGAAGACAGGACGCCACATCGATGTGAAACTGTCTTCCAGGAAGATTTCTACGATCACATGTTTGGTTGAGGTGAGTGTTGTAGATTATGTCACAATCTGTTGACAGCTTAGTCCCAGGGATGTAGCAATGCATTTGAGAGGAAAGAATGTCTCGGTATGAGATGACATGAATATCCTACCGCCATCAACTACTAGAGAGAGGTGACATTACGGAGTTGTTTCTGGTTGCACCCATCTTGAAAAACTTATTTTTCGGCTGGGTCAGCTCGGCTGTGTTGGGGGTTGTGAAGGTGGTATGAGTGAATAGGAAAAAAAAGGAGAGTGATTTAAGGGATGACGGAGTGCTGAAGAGGAGATAGCAGAGTGCTTGGCATGGTGACCAAGGTCTTTAGATGCAAGTCTATAGCACAAAACAATAATCAACTCATGCACCTAACTTTCAATTATCGTAGTTTTGCATCTGATGCATATCATGTTATATCTGAATACGGCTCTCTCCTGGTAGCACCTAAACTACCCCCAACTCCTGGACTCGTGTTGTAACTGAGATCTGTTGGCACTTTCGATGACTTGTGTTGTGATTTGTTTGCTCTTTTGAAAGTGCCCAGAGATACAAGATGATTCCAGGATTCGGGGGTAGTTTAGGCTCTAGCACGAAAGTTTTTGCTCAGATCCAACATCATGATGTGAATGTGATGCAAAATTATGATACTTTGACGTGTTCATGTGTTGATTATTGTCTTGGATTTCAGAAGAACTTCTGAAGATCGTGCTGACCATGCCAAGCACTCTGCTAATTCCATTCCTGCTCTCCGTCCTCCCTCTCTTCTTGAAATCCTGACCACTCTTCTTCTGCTATACTCACTCACATCACATTCACAGCGGCCAACATAGCTCGGCTGGCTAAGCCGAGCCCATGATCTGTTGGCACTTTCGATGACCCGTGTTTTGCGTTGGCAACCCAAGGGTTTCCCAACCCAATGCAACCCGAGGGTTTCACAATCACGACGAGCATCTCTATTAGTATTCTTATCCGAAGGATCATTGTTGCATACCTTGTTCTTTTAGGATCGTTTTGAGCTGTAATTTTAGATTGGATGTCAGGTGGAAGCATGATTAATCTAGTTTGTAATATTTTCTTCCTAGGATGAGTAAAGTACCGTCGGTTTCCTTTCATATCCAATAATAAGGGGAGGTGTCTGATACACGTTCACTTTGTGTGTCGAAGTTAGCTTTCGAATTTCATCCAATCTCATGCATACGATCGAGGTAAGACGATTATCTTCCAAATTCGCTGATTCCAAATTTTATTCGTCGAAAATTTCTTTGGAACTGAACTGCCTCGTTTTTCACGCTTCGCTGACTTACATCGTTCAGGATGATAAAGATTAGGTTACAAATTTCCTAATCCATGTGTAATTGTTTTTAGCACCTTTATAACCAGTTGGAATTGCCTTCAGGGAAACTACTTAGGATTAATCTGCTTCATTCTATTGGAACTCGAAACCCTTGACACTCGAAAGATAAATTTGATGCACAGGGCAAGGTCGCATACTGAATCACGCGGCCAAACCTACTTCCATACATCTTCTTTATTAAAAGAAGAATTATCGGAATTCAGTATACCTTGAGAAGCAGTTGGAGCAATCTTCGAGCCAATTTCCTCACGTTATGCATTGGATAAGATCCAATAGAATAACTTTCTGATGCTTACATGGCAAAAACACAAGGATTTCATTAATATTTCATGTTCATCCCAGAATGTGTTGATACTAAATGTGAAAGTAGTCAAGTTTGTAACTGCCTGTAACCCCATACATTCAAAACATTAGACCACATTTGTTGCACTGGACAACATATTCGTTCTGTCGTTGTGATAGAAGTGGTTATTCTTTTTGCATTTCTCGTTTCATTGTATGGAACCAAACGGACATTTCCATTGACCTTTCAATCTTGAAAGAACTATGGTGGATCATTCAGCAAGAGCAGGACGCTGAAGTTGAGTTTCTCACAAAATTATACGATATAGACTTGTCTCAATTGAATATATTAAAACCCAAATGTTATATATATATATATATATATATATATATTTATATACATAAATGATGTGAACTTGTTACTTTGGTGTAACAATTTGTCATGTATGTACTTTAAGCTTCAAACGCTATTTGGATTCAGGAGTAGTTTCCATTCTTACATGATAATGGGGATCTTAGTATCTTAGTTTACACAATAAACTACAACCTCACGTTATACTAACTACTAAAAACAATAATTTTCATCCTATTTATATACTGACAGAAACAGGCAAAAGTGATTATTTATAGCTTCAGAGCTAGAGAATTATCAGTTTCTTCACTCAGTTTCGTCACCAGTGCCCATCAAACTGCTCTCTCCGTGAAATCCGATTTGCCACATACAGTTTACGATTTTGCTTGGAACCACAATCCTGGTTATCTGCGATCATTTTGATTCACATTGCTTATGGTACCCTCCACTGAGTTCGAGCAGCCTCGTGTTTCCACTTTGCAGAATCTCTTTGCGTTAGTGGTAATTGCTTATCATTTGTTTATGTGAAGAGCTTGGAGTACTTTGTGCATCGCTACTGTTGCACCACACAATAATTTTCATGCACAGCAAGCACATGCACACACGAGTTGTGAAACTGCGACTTGAAGTTTACAAATTTTTCGGTTGAACCTGGATTTCAGAAGCACATTCGCTCGCTTACATTTGATCCGCTCAATCCAAGAAGCAAACGTTTCCTTCTCTGTGAGAGTTGATGAGAGAATGGAAGGTACATGTTTGTACATCGTCAATCTTGTGACACGGAAGATGAACTCCTCAGACGAGGAACCGGAGCTTCTCCGCGAGGTCGACGCTAAACTTGCGACACGGGAAATGGACTCCCAGACGAGGAACCGGGGAGTCCATGTAGGGATTTCAATCCCCATAACCTACAGAAAATCACATTCCACACACCATAGATACACAAGCATTTGTTGACGAGGTTCAGCTTGAAAGCCTACTTCCCACGAACTCCTTAATGAAGGCAGTTCGATTATAAATATCCAAGTCCAGTTTCTTCAGACTTGACCTTCCTATCTGCCATTACAAGGTTTCAGTCTACTGAGAACTACACACGAGAAATCACTGCTGTCTCCCGAGCAAGACTAACACTTCCTCACAGGTGATTCCCCTCCCGTAGGTGTCTCCCCGTTCTCACTCTCAACTATTCTTGAAAACCTTATCTCTGTAATGCACACAGCCCTAGTTCGCTGACTAGCCTTATATCATCCCGACTTCTAACGGTACCTTAAACGGTAAAGATCAGAATGAATGAAAACCGTAAACTCCTACACAGCCCATAGGATATAGACCATCTGCGAGCTAATACTAAACTACAAATAATCTAAAAGGAAAAAGACAAACAACTGAAGCTTATATCTCACAGTCCACCTGCCGGCGGTGCCTCTTCCTGCAGGATGCGAACGCACTCCTGGTGCTGCCGCTGTCGACGGCCTCTTCGCGGGAGGCGGAGGAGGATCATCGATCACCTCAGATTTGGCGAGAGCCTGCTCGTGCGCAGACTTGATTTCTTCGGAATTCATCTACAGTGACCACGGACCCATACTTATTGGTTACTCCATCTGACAAACAAACATTCACCATGCAACTTCTCGACGGTGAACTTGCGACATGGGAGATGGACTTCTCAGACGAGGAACCGGAGCTTCCTGGCGAGGTCGACGCTGAACTTGTGACACTTGAGATGGAGGACCTTATACAGCGTCTGGAAGGAAAAGGCGAGCCTTTAACGAGGCTTCCACATTTAGTCAGAGTTTGTGAGGGGTTCTTTCCGGACAGTACATCGCTCTCGACAATCATAAGCTGGCCAAGCCAATTGCGACATCGAGTGCTGAAGGCAATCGGAAACTGCAACACCCTTGAGTTTCTGCGTGTGGTAACACACTTTTTGTTTTTTTGCAGAATTTAAACAATTTTAGA